CGAGAGACACGCGCGCGCCTGCAGAGTGAGGTCCGCGCGCGCCTCGCCGCTGAGGCTCAGGCACAGGTAATAGACATGCTAGTTATTTTTACAATAAGGTAGCAAACGAGCAAGCGGTCACCTAAATCCATCAATATTGCGAAGCGACCGCTGCCTATATATATCCACAATTACGTTGCCTACTCTGAATCAATGGATGAGAAGGCACACAGAAGATGTTTAATCCGGTTCCACCACTGTTGAATAAGTTAGCACTAAAAGACAGTTTATTAAGGTTTCAATCCCTATTTACTTTAATATAATGTCATTAATTTTCTAATATCCAGGAATTAGCAGAATTATCAAAAAAGGATAGTAAGAAGTTAGAAGAGCTAAAGAACGCGCAAGCAGAACTTGAAAGACTTCTACAAGAGGAGACGCAGGCTAAGAAAGATGAAGAGATTGTGAGAGCTTTGCAAGCAAGGTAAGATTTAAAAGAGGTAAAGTAAGAGGAGTTAGGAGGAGTGATATAAAAGTATATAATTAGTTAAGTCGAAAAAAATTTGTAAATAACATGATTTACAGAGTTCTGACTGAAGAATGGGAAAAAAGAGAAGAGCTAGAACGTCTCCAAGAAGAACAGAATAGAATGTTGGAAGAGGAGAGACTTAAGAGGAAACAGTTCGAAATGCTTCAAGCTGAGAAAGAGGCACAATTCAAAGGTAAGAACATAATACAAACGATAGCTATAAGAATAACATTAAAAACAAAAAGGGGAGCAACTAAAAAATATAATCTATCAGAGGCCGAAAGAAGACTGAAGGAGTTAGAAGAAGAGAAGCAGAGACTTGACGCAGAACTGAGAGCGGCGCAGGAGAAGATATCACAGACCGAGCACAACGCCCTGGCACTGCATGTACAGCTGAGGGTATATCTTACTTCTTACTAAAATTATATATGCGAAAGTTTACATGGATGTTTGTTAGAGCGTGTAGCCTAAACGGCTGAACTAGCTTTTGCCCGCGACTCTGTTCGCGTGTAATCTAAAAATAACAAAAAAGAAATGAAATAATACAACCTATGTTACTCAGAGATAAATTACCTTTCTAACAGTGAATTCGGAAAAATCGGCCTAGTAGTTTTTGAGGCTATTCATTACAATCAAACAAAGTTTTCCTCTTTATAATATTAGTATAGACAATGTTACTTTTTCAGGATTATCCAATATTCCGTAATGGGGAAAGAGCTCGTCGCGCGATATCGTTTGTGCCAACAACCAAAAGTTCCTCCGACACTCTCATAGACGTAAAAGCTATCAGACATCTCAAAGTACTTGACGACGATAGTTTATGATCAAAACAGAAGCCAACTTAATAAAATGATGAGCAAAATTAAAAATATTGAAAGTAAAATAAATACTGCAAAGACAAACAACCACGGGACAAGAGAGAGAGTGTAGGAAATTGGGAAAAATCGAGAATCTAATATTTTAAGGTCATGTTAATTTTTTTAACTATAATACTGCTTGTAATTATATAAATATCAATAAAACAAATATTTTTAAAGAAGTTTAAAAAGTTTTAGATGCTTTAATATTTATATCGAAATTGTTTTTCTATTGTCTTTATACCTATTAATATATTTTCAGGATAAATTAAACGAAGTTTATAAAAAGAAAAATTAATATTGTATTCAATAAATAATAAAACAAGAATATTTGAATTTCACAATTTACTTTTTCCCGCCTTTCTTCTCCTCCGCAGCCTGCATCTTCTTTAGAAGTTTCTTCAGCTGAAAATAGGATTTAGGATAGGATCAGATTGGGATTGAATAATGATTAGAGATTAACAAGGAAATATGGAATAAGGATTTTTAATTTTTCTTCTTTCCTTTTTTACTTCTTCCTTTCAACTGTAAAATATAAGGGAGTTTAAGAAAATACACACCAAGAGAAGTAACAAGAATAAGAAGTAACAAGCATATCTAACATAAGCAATGGGAACCAGGAAATTTAAAATGAATTATAGACAGTCGATTTTGTCTTCCGATCGATCTAAAGTTCGCGCGTCAATCCTTTCTTAATTATGATCCTATTAACTTATTCCATCTACCTATTCCTAAATGTTTATCAAATGTAATGAGGTAAAAATGTAACCTTCTTCTTCTCTGCGCGATTCGCCAGCACCTCTCTCCACGCGTACTGTATGACCCTTGCTGCATGTTCCTCCAGGAACTTCTGCATCTTCTGGGTCATCTCCTCGTGGTACTCTGCCTCTCTTTCTGCCATCAGCGGTATGTATTCCTTGTCCTGCTCTGCTATTTTATCCTATATGTTGTCAAAATTATATAACGCCTAAAGAAATATTTAAAACAATTTACGAGTATGGTCAACAAGGTGCAAAACACTAATGTAGGAAATGCTGACCTCCAGTTCCTTACACTTCCTCATTTCTTCGTCATACTTCTCTGTGAAGTCATCGAGCTCCACCTGCTTGTCGGCCATCTCTACGTCGTACTTTTGAAGCCATGATAGCAATTGTGTCTCAACTTTAAGTCTAAGAAAAATAGCAAGTAATATTCGAAAGTGACTAAGAAACAATCTAACTTTCATAATAATTCTGCGAACCTTCTCGCCCTTAAATTCTTTTCTTCTAGAAGATGCACTTTCAGCAAATTTTCGTACACCTCTTTACTCTCCGCTTCTTCTTCTTTAAGCATTTCATTCTTGATTAAGTGTGCCCGTGTAGCTAATACCATCTGTCGTTCGGAATCGAGACTGGAAAACAAAGCAATAAAAGTAATCTGGTTAACGTCCAACATTTTGTACGGACGCTTCAAGTTTATGTATACTTACACCTTCTTCTGGAGTTTGGCAGCTGTCTCTCGGTTCTGTGTAGCAAGCTCGGCCTCAAGGCTGGCGATCACCTCGGCCTTATGCTTCATCGTCTCCTCGAAGTTCTCCGATTCTTCTTTTAATGTCTTTGTGTATTCTATCTTGCAAATGGAAATGATTTAAATTTATGGTCAACTAATATACATACATATAATGATACTAACTATGAAATTTATCCAAGACAATCTTATCCGTTGCATTATCGAAGATCTTAATTAGATTTAACGACCTTTGCAGTGTACACGATGCTACAATTTATACGTCACCGTCAATTTTCTTAGTAAGTTTGACATTCGATGCTTCCAACTTCCTAGTCTTTAACTTCATTGACAACTCCTCGGCCGCGGTCGTCTCCATTTGCTTTACCATCAGCTCGCGGAAATTCTCAAGAGCCAAAAGATACTTCAAGCCTGGTGTTTCTGGTTTAGCCTATGAAATGTTAAGCAAGGATGAAAGTAGAAAAGCAGAGTTTAGTAACATTAAAATGTATCCAGTAAAAACTACAATATCCTCTTCGTAATAAAAAAATCAATTGTTATTTAAGGGTGTGATTTGATAAATAACTTTAATTTCTACCTACAATAGTTATCCTTACTTCTTTTGTTGCATCTGCTTTCATCTGTAAGATATAAAGTATGTAGAGTCAAATTGTTTACGGTTCAAAAAACTCTCTATACAAATCTAACCTAACCTCATGAACCATTTCATCCACCACCGGCTTTAGTGCTGGATAACTGTTCATAATGTAGAGTAAAAGTCCGAGCTCCGGGTTCAACCGATTCTTTAACGATACATCACCCTGAAAAAGAGAAGAAGTACATATATCTAAGTAAGTTATTTTTACTAGCTGTTCGCGGCTTCATCCACATGAAATTGTAGAAACTTTAGTTAATTGTTTACATTTTCCATATTCTCAATTGCAAATGTCAAAATTACCGTTACCGTAATATCTTAATGTTGGCAGCCCGTAGTTTATTATCTCTTACCAACATCTAGCTTTTTCCAATTTATATACCCCCTAGCGTGTAAATATACAACCTAAAGCGTGTCGTAAGTGTAGGGCTTTTTATTAAAGAAATGACATCCTATGCCAAAAAATTGTGTGTGTTTATGCTTTATTATATTATAAGTATAGAAAAGACTCCATCTCAAATGTAAATCAATAGACTATATAACTTACAGCTTTGAGATCTTCAAAAGCGCCCATATTTAACAGACTAGTTGAAAACAACGGGCTGTCGTACTGATCGAAGATCAACAGGAGGTCATCCATATGCTGATTGGAGAGAATTGAGTTTAGGGTGCGGTACTCTTTCACCAAACCGGGTAAGCAGATAGCTAGCTTAGTCTTTTTGATGGTCTCGTCTAGAATCTTAGTGATTCTTTCAGCTTGGATCTTACATTCCAAGTCGATTGGAGACGCAGCTAGAAAAAAAACCATCTCATTATTAATGTCATGTAGAAATTCTAAGAAAATAGGTAAACTAGAGTTGAGTATTGAACGGTCCCTAGTTTTCTTTACTACGATGTTTCTTTGTCTTTAAATGAAATTTGATTACCATTATCCTTAGTGAAGTCTTGTTCTTTATCCTTGGTTGCGCTCTCGGCTGACTTGCTGCTCCCGGTCTTGGAACTCTCCGAGAAAGTGGACGGCGACTGTAGGGTGCCCGCCGAATGGGATTCCATTACTGTATACCACGACTTGCTATGATAATATATCAAAAAATACTATTCCCTTTATTTAAGTGTTTTATTTATTTCTATCCCAATGACATTGTTTTATTTGACATTGACAGTTGTTGGTAACCATAGTAACGTAATGGTAGTTTAAATCCTGCGATGTTATGGTGGGTTTTAACTAGTGAAACTTTGTATAAAAACATTATTAGGAGGGTACATAAATATTTTCCGACCGACTTTCCAAAAGTAGGAGGTACTCAATTCGTCTGTACGTTTTATTGATATTTCTAGTGATTAGTAATGCAGTCTTATAAGTAACCATACTTAAAATAAGTTTTTACTAAGTTTTATAACTTTGTATTGCTGAGTAACGCATTATCTGTTAGATCAATAATATCGATGTTTTAATAAAAGTAGTAACGCCTTACAAGAGTTGTATCCTGATATTGAAAAAGGTGAGCAATATTTTATTTATTTGTACAAATCGCAGATTATTCACTAAAGTTAAATATTTATAAGATTTTTAGTCCTCATTTTGCACATTTATGGTAGTGTCTAATTATTTATTATCTGACTCTATCTACCTAGTGATATACCAACAAAGTACCACTGATTTAAAAACAATTTCTCCTATCTCATAAGAAAACCGAGATAACAAGGTTTGTTACAGAAACGTTTTAGGAAAGTATTTTAGTAGCGGAAGTACTTAGTGCGAGTGTACTAATGTTTACAATACGAATTGTACTTGCAGTAAATCAAAATGCCTAAGAAAAGCAAGGTGAACAAGCTGGCGCGAATGTCGGAGGAGGAGCGCGCGCGCTACCTTCAGCACCGCGCTGACCTTGAGGAAGAAGCGAGGCGCAGGAAACGGGAACTCATCTCCAGGTTCATTAAGGTACCAACTTGTGTTCCTCCGGACTATCCTCTACATCTATGCCAAATTTTATCCAGATGTATTCAACCGTTTAGGCTACAAACTCGTAACAAACATTCATCCATCTAAACGTTTGCATATAGTAAGACTAGCTGACGCTCGCATAATAACTATAGCTTTTTAATATTAAAAAAAATTCTTGAAATCGACCCAGTTGTTTTTGAGTTATCTTATTACACACAAATATACAAATCTTTTCTCTTTATATAGTTATTAACTGAGTTATTACTCAATATAATACTCCGAAAGGTCCTGGTCCTGAAGACCTATTGGTCTTCACAATGTGTTAATTATTCTATTTCAGAATAAACTTGACAAAGAGGAGTCGTACAGCAAGATGAATACAGCAAAGATCAACCAAGAGTGGCGGTACGTACTGAGGAAAATTAAATGTAAACAGATGGCCTCGGATATACAGGTAATCTTAAACTTAATGAAAGTCTACGGTTACATTTACGTCTCAGTTGTTATAAAGCATGAATGGGCCGGCTCGCTCAGTGGAATACCACGACCACACAGAAAACAGGCGTGAAGAGGAACCAATTCCGAGCTTCGTCTGATGAGTGTGGTGCCGGAGGCCTAATTTTTAGTACCTTTCCACCGTTTTCTTAAGAGGAAAGGATGGGAAGGAAAAGTGGATTCGACGGTGGAGGAGACGCGTAGGAAAGGGAAATTTCCTTTTTATGTGCGTCTCCTCCTCCGTCAATTAAGGGTAGGCAATGCATCTGCTTTTGCAGATGTTTATGGGCAGCGGTCTTTTTCTATTTCGGTGGATTCAGGTGGCCGTTTGCTCGCTTTCTACTTTACATTATAAAAAAAATTGAAACTTAGAAAATGTCTTTAACTTCTCTAATAAGTGAATATGTATCCAGGGTATGATTATTAGCTTTAACTTCCTGGTAGAGAGGAAGGATCGCCAGATAGTCTCGCTTACAAGAGCACTGGAGGACTCTGACGAACAGCACCGACGCACCTTCCAGACTCATACTGAGAACTTAAATTATTTCCTCAGTAAGTACTTGTATTTTAAATTAATTCACATTACTTCGGACTACTCTTAGCGCACACACCTTTAACTAAGTTATCGCATAACTGTTTATTCGCTCTTTGATTCCTATGACCTTATATGGAGGTGGACACACTACTCGATATTTATTTGTGCAACTAAACAGTTGAATTGGCTGCGAAACAATCGACAATAGCACAGCAGTTGAGCGATAGTTTAGTAAAAGGTTTGCACCCTTCTAAATATTACATTGTGGTTACATAAGTTGTTAAAAACAATTGCTTTTTATATATAACATAAGATGGCAAACGACCAACCGGCCACCTGAATCCGCCAATATGGCGAAGCGACCGCTGCCCATAGACATCCACAACTGCAGATGCGTTGCCTACCTTTATCCGACGGAGGAGAAGACGCACATAAAGAAGACACTTCCCCTTCCTATGCGTCTCCTCCACCATCAAATCCACTTTCCCTTTCTATCGTCTCCTTATAAGAAAAGGGTGATGAAGAGAAAGGGACTTAAATTAGGCCTCATTTGTATATTTCGACAGGAATCGGGGCTCAACGATTAGACAAGCTCCAAACAGAATATGACTATCAAAAGGAGTTACTTTTAGAGAACTGGGAAGGAGACGAGTTGGAGATAACTGACAATCAGGACAGAGCGGAGATGAAACTAACGTTAATCACTTATATACAGGATCGTGACTTCAAGGCTTATAAGAAAGAAAGAGAAATAGCAATGCTGACCGCAAAGAATAACGAGAGACTTGAGGTAAAAGAAGTTAAAAAATGCATCCAGATGTTGTCCCCCAAAAGTATACTAATGTATTCGGATGTATTTGTGCGAATTGGTCACTTAATTTGTTTTCTCCCTTTGGAGCATTAGCATTATGAAATTCAGTCACTAAAATCGATAATTAAACTAAGATCATTAAGTAAAAAACATCTTTATTGTAACTAATTAAAGCTATGGTCGCAAATGTTTTATGTACGTGTATTGGTATGCTTTAGGCACGCCGGCTACCATTCCCGGCACGTCACTCTTCAGATCGTCACAATTCGCTTTGCCTTTGTCCGTTAAACAGATCAGTAGGTTCTTTGAGTATTCACATTTGTTCACTTTATTAGCTGCAAAAGAATGTAGCATTAAAATATACACCTAAGATACTGTAAACATGGCAAACAAAAGCTTTAATTCTGTCACATTTTCAAGTTCTAAAAATTTGTTTGCATTTTCCATACCTCTTAGTATTTGAAAGCAATCATCAGCCGATTGCTGCAAGAAATCTTTCAACTCTTGGTCTTCTATGTCCCTCGTCACTATTTGTCTCACCAGATGTTTGTTAGGAAATCCTGTGTCATCGGTCTGTAATAAACTCAAGCAACTATAGGGTTTAGATTACCAAATTTTATTAAAAAGAGACTTGGAAAAAAGTCTTTGTTTCCTTACCATTTTCAAAGCGTCGACGAAACAATGCAACGCGCACGCATTATCTTTAAGACCTATCCGTTCCTGTGAGTACTGCCAAATTTGATCGTCGTTGTTGGTTGGATTTCTCTTCACGTTAGGTTTGTATTGGTTCCGTCGGCTGAAGTGGAACTCCAAACGCGACCGTCGTCTTTGCCGATTGGTACGCGAAGGCCGTAACGGCTCCTATAAATAAATAATTTTAATTTAAATAACTAAATAATTTTATTAAACTAAGATACTAAGTAGGTACTCGTAATCAGTATGGAACTTTAAGCCTTTCCTTTCATTGTTAGTTAAAAACGTAGTAGAGAAATCTAATCTCTAAAGTTCACTTCAACGGGTAAATAATGTTTGCAAAACATTTATGTTTGCTAACGTTTATACTTTGAACAGCTGGTGGCGTACTCGCTCTCTGTCCCACCTAGGGGATACAATAACAAGAAGAAGAAGACACAATAAGAAGAAGAAGAAAGTTCATACTTTCCTGTATTCGTCTCGATCTTTTCCACAGTCTTTTCCATTGGCGCAATTTCTTTTATAAACTTGTTCAACGTTTTGTTTCTCTGTGGTCTCATCTTCGTATTCAGTTCCATCGTCCAGCGTATAGAAGTATTCGCTTTCAGTCGTCGTTCGTTGTGGTACTCTACCCATCATATTATCTCCGGCATTCTTTACATTAGTACCTACATTTAACTTGTTTACTGTAGCTGGTGTGATCGGTTTTATCACACTGCGAGACATTATGTCGCTTCTTGCTTGCACTGATATTTGTGCTTTGTCCAACATTTTTAAGCAAGTGTGATATATCTTCATCCATTTGCTTTCTTTGCCTGGACCATATCTAATGCGGCAGTTAAGAGCCTGTTGAACAAAAACACATTTTAACCGTCTTCATAAGTACACGAATAACATCTTTCAGAATAGAGAAAAATGTTAGACTGCTATATATTACGCGGGAAAGTTAAAAGAAACTCACGCTACTGTCTAATATTAATACTGATAGACATAAAACTACAATGAAAAGCAAACTACACATCTCTACATTCACTATAGCAATGAATTGATTCAATATATCAGAATAATATATAGAGTAGCTACTAATAAATGATATACAAATCTCACCATCTAAATGTCACCAACTCTCAACACTAAACTATCGTAAATGTGTCCACACACAAATGTTTGAATAATACACATTGACTATTTTTATACACGAATTATAACTCCCATAATAAAAGTAGCTGTCCCATACCTTTCATATCTAAACACTAAACATCTAATTCACATATTTGTAAGACTTAGGGCCTCTCCCACAAAGTAGTAAATTGTGTAACAATCCAGCCTGTAAATTATGTTATGGAAATATTTGATTTTGTTTCCTTTTAAGACATCATTTTTATGCTATCTTGGCCTCTATGGTGGTGGGACAGGCCCTAACTATTTTTTTACATATAGCACGAAGAACAAATGCGTAATCTCTGTCGACCGAAACAATTGGAGATAGAGTTGTACTTCAACAAACTCCGTGACACATACGATTCTTACGAGGACCATCACAATCCGATGATGGGGCATTATCGCGCGCTGCGGGAGAAAGACGACTTCTATCAAAGAGACATCGCGAGGAATGAACGACTTATAGAACAAGCTACGGTAGGAGACAAGAATATCTCAATTCACGAAAATTACTATACATTAATGCACTTAAATAAATAATACGAAGATAATAAAAGAAACAGGAACAGTAAGTAGAAATTTAATGAAAAGTAACCTAAGAATCTATCAAAAACACACTTGAATTCGTCTAGTAATGACAAGCTTTAATAAGATCTATGAGTAAACTAAAGAATTGATTTATTTTAATTTATGTTATAGGATATACTAATGAATCTTCAAAAGGAATGGATTCGCACAACGAAGTCGATAAGTAACAAGATCAGTCGTATGACGAACCATAAGGAGGACCTCGCAAAGAGATACTGGCACATGAAGAAGGAATCTAAGCTCGCGAGCAGTAGAGACACCGACATGTTGACTGTGCTCGTAAACTATAGTCAAGATACAATCAAGGTTTGTATCGTTATTAATATACTTAGGTATTCGCAAAACTTGCAAAATAAGTGTAACAAAGTTCGGAACAAAGAAATTATATCTTATCTTTTACCTTTCTTGAGAAAATTGTAGTTAAACTTCCCTTTAAGCAGCGCCTTGCGGAAGTAAATAGCAAAGTAAATAAGATTACACAAATGAATCAAATATGCAGCAAATACGAGAATAAGTCGGATGTACTCGAAGATTGTCCTGAAGATTGGATCCCGCAGAACTTTGAATATCTTAATGAGGAGATGATAGTATGGTACCTTTGATTAGTGCATGATTTTAATTGTACCAAAGCTATTGCACTTTCATACCAAACCTACTGCACATTCGTACCAAAACCATTGCACTATCGTTCCAAATGTACTACACGATTGCTCCAAACGTTAACTACGTACCAAACGCAATGTTTTTCTCCGTTTTGCTTAAAATGATACCTTTTATGTAACATTTTTTATTCATAATATTTTCTATCCCACAGAATGAATGCAAGGAATATATGAAAATGGATAAATTCTTAAACAAAGTGAACAGAGTGAAGGTCCAGACAATCTGTTTGAGAGCTGAGAAGGCCAAACTAGCTAAGGAAAACATCCAGTTGAAACAATACATCAAGAAGTACCTCACGGAATTGGCTCTTAAAGGTGGCAAGGATAGACCGGCAAGCATGAAATATAACAATATTCAGAAGACTGATGACAATGGAAGGACTTTGTAAGTTATACTTATTGGTAAAATGTTTGTAGAAATCACTTGTAGTAGAGAAAACAAAACAGTAGTGCTTTAGGCACTTAAATTGAAATCTATTTTCATGTTTTAAGGTATCGTCCCGTGACCTGCATAGAGGGAGCTCTGTCTAATGCTGTTATGTATGAGAAGAGAATGAAACTACAAGAGAAACGGGACAAAGAGTTAGGAGTTCGTGCATATCCTCGAGTCTGTTGGTAGTTATATGAAGCTAGAGTCATATTAAATTTATTTATTCACTTGCAATATGTGTAATTTATTTTTAAGTGTATGTGACTTTATAACAACGTTATATTTTATTTTCTAATAAAGTGATGTATTTTATTCTTCTATTGTTATTTCTCAGTTAAACCTCAAGATAATAGTGATGGCAATATTCAGTATTTGAGCATGAAAAAAAACAAAAAGTATATTACAAAAACATTTAATATGAAAACTTACAAATCTAATATCCTTATGATAATATTTCGTATATTTGTAACAATTCTAGTTTAACAAATGAACAAGAATCTATGGAATCAAAGTTCAGCCAATGAATAGCAAACTCAAATTTAGTATTCTTAAGTTTAGTTTAACAATTAAGACAAATTTGTTTACATATATATTTGTAAGTTTGTTACTCGACCAAATCCTATATTTAAAGAAATCAATACAACTTTTAGATTCAGTTTTTCAAACATTTGTACTTTTCGAGTTACTCTTAAGATTTATATGTGAAATGAACATGACATAAATCTTTCTTCTTATTAATCCATTTCAGGATTACTCCATTGGAGTCACTCCATTCATATCACTTGGATTCTCTCCCAGATTCCAAGGGTCTTCCAAAGCCGCCAGCAACTTTGCAAGATTTTTATGGCCTTCAGTATCAATATTCTTTGTCATGTCGTCAGTAAACGGAACATATTCATCACACAATACACTCTTGCCTTGTGAAACTCCGTATATCTCGTACCATCCTTCCAAAGATTCACTAAGTGGCCTCTTTAATCTTATAAGAATCTCTTGATCATCTACAGTTTTAATATAGAATCCTTCATTAGCGGTAACTTTTGTTACTTTACCCCAGATAGCAACTTTCGCGCCGTTTTTTTGTGGCAAATTACCGGCTGTAGCGTATGGCATGAATTCATCATTATCTGGATACTGATTGTCTTCAATATCATCATGGTCTCCCATATTTATATAGTTTTAAACTTTTGAAGGGAATTCTACACAACAATTTCCTTTTTATTCTACCTAGTTTCACTTATTTTTGAAATGAATAAAACTTGTTGAAACTTGAATTTTATGACAGTGACATTACTTTGACAGCTGACATGCACTACGCAGATTATCTATTTGGAAAACAATATTTTAAAAGTTGCGAAATAGTCCACAGAGTAAATAACCGGTAAAATATAAAATAAAGTTAAATGACTATCTGTAGTTTTAAAAGACGAAATTGTAATTCCCTTATGATGCCATCATGGTTTCATTTCACTTTTAGTTTTATTTTATGGTAGAGAACTAAATACACCCACAACCCAGAGAGGTACGCAGAGATTACAGAATTTAAATAAAACAACGAAGATATTAAAATTAAGCTTATAATAAACCAATTTTTCAATTCAAATTACAATTCTAAACATTTATAATTATTTCTACGCGAAGAGGTCTTCTCTGTCTGCGGCGAGCGTCGGCGCTGTAGCGTCCTCCATTGCGGCGAAGTTCATGAAGTGAGCGGGCCTGTGCACCTCGTGGTAAAACTCGCGGGGGTTGCCCAGCTGTACACCGTATTTCATGTTGGGATCGTGACGGACACCTAGAACAATATACATGTTAAAAACATGATAGTTACAGGAATATATACACTTTTTGTTCGACAAAAATTTACTGTTTGTAAATTTGGTAGGCTTTTGATTATTTTTCACTAGCTGTCGCAGGCGACTCCGTCTGCACGGATTAAAAAAAACTGTGTTCTGTGTTGTAAAAAGTCTGTGTTCTTATAGACTATGTTCTTTATCTATGGCAAATATTAGCGAGATCCGTTGAGACTTTCCGGAGATACGTAGTTACAAACTTCCATCTAAATTTTTGCATTTATAATAATTGGAGTTGGTAAGATTTACTTGTGATAAATCATAAGTGAACATACCCATGAAGTTGTAATTCCAGCTGCCCTGCGAGGGCACCATAAAGTAGCCGAGGAAGCGGTCCGAGAGCAGCATCTGCACACGCTCGTAGTGACTGGGCAGGTATCCCTTGGGGTTGTTGCCGCGGTCCGTGTTCTTGGCGCCCCACTCGTAGCCGCTCGGCGTCAGCTTGTACGCCGTTAACGAGCACGAGCCCGGCGTGAACGAACACGTTATTATGATCGTCTTCTCGCCATCCCAAGTTGGATTCTCCGCCATTATTTTGGCGTGTGTTGTTATATCCTGTAGAAAACGTTTATTAAAGTTTCTATACACTGAATAGAGTACAACTTTGCTATTTAATTACGAAAATATAAGTTTATTAAACCAGACTACCACTACTATGTTCAGAGTCAATATGTTGTCTTCTTACCATAAGGGCGGTAATACATACATGAGTAAAATGTTGACGAAACCGTAGGAGATAAGACGCGTCAGTGTCAAAAAGGTACTTCTCAACCCTCCCTGACAACTTTCAAAAATCAAATATAGAGCTAGATACTGGCATGCCAATTAACGTTTACACTGTACTCTGCACAGCAGTGTAGCTTCTAGAATAGCGCCGGCTTAAGGTCAGTGTCTATTAAAGTATTGTCAGTTGTATGTACCTGAGGCGAGAGCTGCGGCAGTTCATTGGGCTGGGTGTGCATCCAGCCAAGCGGCTGTAAGTGAGCGAGGGCAGGGTGTCTCGGCAGCTGGCGCGGCAGGTGCACCTGCTGGTGCGTGCCCCACTGCGGCGCCACCACCGCGCACTGCACCTCGCGCACCATCGGGTTGTCAGCCGGTGATGTGCCGTACAGGTAACACGCGATCTACAATAATAACGTTTTATTTTATTTAGATTAGAAGCCAGTCAGACAGCGACAAAATAATTTTAAAAAGATAATAAAAAAAAGTCTTTATTTATCACGACACATGTCGTCGTCGTGATCTACAATAACTAAGTTTAATACTTATGAAGTACTTATTTTTAATAAAATATTAATAGATTAATTTCACTAATATTTCTTTTACCATTCCAATAAGCTTTAGGCTTGTGCTAGGATATATGGTTTACAATAGTCGAATGGCAGGATTCGAACCCTCGACCACGTGATCAGAAATCCGTACCCCTAACCATTAGGCTATTGGTCCTTTAAGTACATATGTTAGGGATTAATGTATGAGACATTTTCGAAATATGAACGGTGTATTGTGTTCAATATAGTAAAAATAAGTAAAGGAATATGATTACTGACCTGCGCTCGCAAATCAGATATAGTGACAAACTTCTTGAGCAGATTCTTTGGCAGGATGTATGTGTAACCGCTCTCCTTAATATCGTCTGAACTGACGTAGATGTGGTTTGTACGTAGGTGCAAATTGGTCGCAGATATCGCACGCACACGCCATTCCGTCTTTGAACTGTAAAACACAAGAAAAATTGCTTTTGTGAAAAACTGCTATATTAACTAACAAAAATTGAAGAGATGTGAAAGAAAGAGATCTCATTATGTTGAGGTCTATTATGGCTTGTATAGTCCTTACCTGAAGGTCTGCGACTCATAGTTGCTGGTTGTCGAGGTGATGATCTCATCGCCGTGCTTGTTGACGGTGCGCGTGGTGGTGGCGGTGAGCTGGCTCTGCTCCTTGCTCTGCTTCTCTATCTCCGCGATCTGCTGTCGCTGCGCGGAGGGTGCGGATATCTCCATACCAAGGATTATGTCGCGGATCTCAGATTGCGTCAGCGAGGCTACGTTCACGCTGTTGACAAATTATTATATTAATATAAACCTTAAAATGCTACATAATTTCTCTTTATATTAGTTTAAACTGAATTCAAAAAAAGCATTCCTATATTCGAATTATTTATAAACGCTTAAAAACCACACCACCTAGAACACACTTTGATGAATTTGCTACTTAGGAGTATCTTAAAGTCTCACTAAAACTTCACTAAGGAACGACACAAATGTAAACAACATACTTGTTCTTCTTGCCGTAATCCGCGAGTATGAGGTCCTTGAGCTGCACCTCGACCTTGATCCAGTCATCATCAGTGAGCGTGGGCCAGATGTGGTGGGGCTCCGTGAGGGTCGTCTTGTCCGGCTTCAGCAGCACCTTGGTGCGCTCCGTGTTCACGTGCAGCGCTCGCAGGATCAGGATCAGCCGGCTGAACGCCTGCACGCAATATACTCAGTCAAAAATAAATTATAGCCTCGCCATAGTTGTTTATGTATATTGATGTCACATTTATAGTAACTTTTAAAACTTCAAAAGGAAAAAAAATTCTCGTCTGTGTTTTTTTTTTAAATTTGGAAATAATACGCTACTTGTAGGTTAATATTTGTTACACTCTAGCCTATCGGTGCTCTTCCTAAAGGCGAGTCGGACTGTTATGAACTATAGCCTAGGTTACTCAATAATAACGTAGCTTTTAAATGGTGCAGTATTTTTTAAACAGGCCCAGTAGTTTTTTAGTTTCTTCAATGCATACAAATAATACTTACAGTGTATGACGAGATTGTCTTCAGCCAATCATCGTAAAGGTTGAAGAGAACCATCTGTGGTTCTGTGGCCTTCAGAATCAGGTCTCCGAATTTCTCCACCTTGAGGCAAGCCTGGAACGGCAGCTGCAGCTCTGAACCCTTGATCACGATGTTCGGGAAATCCAGCAAGTGGACCTGGAGGCAGAAAGATTTACAAATACAATTTACAAAAAGAAATAAATATAACAAAAAACAAAGATGTACTATTGCTTTGGTATCTTTGATGTAAACTTGGTATAATAACTGTTTTTTGTCGTACACATACTTCGTTAGAATTTAGATTATTAAATTATATTAGATTTTCAGTACATTGATATTAGAATTTAATTAAAATTAATAATTTACCTCCAAAGGATCCAACATTCCCTTTCTGGTGACAATAATTTGTTTCGGCTGTTCTTCAACGGGCAAGGATCGAATCAACGCCGCTACTTCTTCTGCCGTTTTCCATTTAGCAAGCTATTGTAAACAAAGAAGATAATAATTAAAGTAACAAATTTATTTTAACATATTTATCTTTTTTATTATAAGGGACTATGGTTATGGATTCAATAAGTGGTTTTTTCTGGAGAAACTTCAAAGTAACATTTATCTTGTAATAGATTGTTATATTTTGCTTATATTTACCTGTCCCAAACGTTTCTGTCCGGCCCATACGCTGGTGTGAATGATCTTGAGGAACAGCTGTCCTGTGCGCGGGTTGAAGATGAAGATGGCACCATTGATGGGTTTGGTCGTCAAGTTACCTTCGAATGTCTTGTGGATCGTCACTCTGTACACATTTGTGTCGTCTACGAACCTAGAAAAAGCATTTTTGGTTGAAAGTAGCACGAAAAATATACAACTCAAATTTATATTAAACTATAAGTTAAGTTTCATTACGATTAAGTTTTAGATACCGTTTACTTTTCATTTTAGGTTAAAATTTAAACATGTGGCGGCACTTATTTATGTTACTAACATTATAAATGCGAAAGATTTGATGGATGGACAGTTAGTTGTTTGTTAGGGCTAAACGGCTGAACGAATCTGGTATAGAAGTCTAGGATAGTCTAGAACACGTAGGTTACTCAATTTTTTTAATTCCACGCGGACGGAGTCGCGGGCGAAAGCTAGTATTTCATAAGTCTCGCACTTTCCGATGTATATTCAAGTTGAAATGGCACGTGGGTACCAATAGTAGACATGTCAACTGGGTACAACGTACTATTTGTGAGTAATTACCATATGATCTGATTGGAGAACAGTTCTCCGTAGTTCTGGCTGGAGAGGTACGGCTCCGTGGGTTCCGAGGAGTAGAGCTGCAGTGCCTTGCGGATGCGCTCTCTCAGCACGTACAGCGCGGGGTTGGCCTTCATTATCTTGGCCATCGCTTGCTGGATCAGCGGCTTGCAGCCCGGGAACCAGTTGCCGTACGCGCTGACAAGTAACAAATTAATAAGATAACAGTCTAGTTTACATCAATAATAAAATAATCCATTCTGATGAAAGAAAGAATTTTAAACACTATTGCGTTTTGTCAAGTGGACACTTAGGTGGTAATTTAGTTACTAAACATACTTGAAGAAAGACCACTAATGTGATTACGACAGTATAACTGCGAGTTTACTTAATATTTATTAGAATAAAACCTACGTTATGTTTGAGGTGGTATAACTGCGATATAAGCTATGTGTTTACCTGTGCAGATTGTAGGCGAGGTCGATGGCGATGAGCAGTCCAGTAGGCGAGGGATATATGGACATGTTATCGGTGGTGTAGTCGAGGAACTTGGCGCGTGCGTACCGCTCCACGTCGTGGGAGTCGTAATCACCCCACCGAAGCTGGATGTCCAGCCAGTACTTCTGTGTTGTTGTATTGTCCATTGTATCTCTACACAAAATTTTCATATCATTCACTTACCAATTTGTTATCCATACATATGGTATGTTAATTCAAAAATAACCCTAACCAAATGTAATGGATTTACAAAAGAGACACTTTATTCTTTAAAATTAGTCAATTCGTTATTTTAGTGACTGAATACATGTTTTTAATTATACATATTCTTGTTAGTTCTAATTTATTGCATCATTAAATAATAGTTGCATCAACTATTAGTTTGCATTAAATAATGCAAACTAATAGTTGATGTTACTGATTTTCAATTTTTTTTAACTTCCACATTTCACGCCGACGCCACGCCGAATGCAGTCCCTCCCGTTACGCCCCACTGCACTTAACATTGCATTCTACGCAGCGACTTGTCCGAATTTATAAGACAACCTCTATAATTCTACAAAACAAACTTCTTTATAAATGCTAATTAACATTTTAGGTTTTTTTGTTAGTGAAAAATAAAACGTAAAACGTACTTTGAGTCAGCTAACAGCGATGGTCGGGATACATTCCACTTGTATGCAGAGAAGAGAAGAATATCAGCGCACGATGAGTTCATCTTGTACGATTTTCGAGGATGAATTGTTTCTTTTTGCACAGTTTCAATTTCTAGCGCGTCCAGTTCTTGATCAAATACCTAGAATTCAAATATTGTTAACAAACTGTATTTCAAGACTGACAAGACAATTTTATAAAAATTAAACTTACTTGACATAAATCCATGACGATAGATTCGTGCACTTTCTGCCACAAGTGAGCTCTAAATATTTGAATGAGCGATATTTTCAATGTCGGAATTTTTCCGTGCATGAAAATACCCGTCAAATCCAGTTGCACCTAAAAATTTATATTAGTATTAAAAATATAAATATTAAATTTTCATACTTCCGATCCCAAAATAAGAAAACAACAGTTACCTGGAAACCGACGTAAACATTGGCTCTGTTGATAGTGGGCGACCACCACAGAGTGAAGCGACGGTTCGGGATCTGGTTCAAACCGGATCGCTGGGCATTTGTCAACTTTTTGTATTTCATCGACTCTTCAAATCCTGATGCCTTCTCCCTGTAATTAGCAATAATTTAATTAAATAAACAAACTTAGCAAGTAACCTGTGCTCTTCCAGACTATCTTGTACATCTGTGCCAAATTTCATCAAGATCCCTTATGCTGTTTTGGAGATACATAGTAACAATCATTCATCCATTCTAACTGTTGAATTTATAATATCACTATTTATACAAATATTATAAAGAGGTAAGATTTGTTTTTTGTATGTATTGCAATAATTCAAAAACTGCCTGATCAATTTCAAAATTCTTTCTCCAATAAATAGCTATGTTATGACTGAGTCAGTCTATATTTATCAAAAAAAAATATTTTCGAGCGTACTAAAACGCATGCAATAGCTAGTGTACTATAAATCAAAGTAAATTAAAAGAATACTGACCAGAACAAACCTTCCCACGTTGGGAAGTACGTTCCCTTGAACAGTGTGTGTTCTAATATGCCTTCGACTCCGCCGAGCGCCTGTATCATGTCAGTGCGGTAGTTGTTCAGGTTCCACAACTTGCCGTCGTGCCGCTGATGGGTCCACCAGAACGGATTCTGCTTCAACACCTACGAAAAAAAATGAATTTAGCTAATGTTGTAATTTATTTTCATAGCTAGCTTTCACCCGCGACTCCGTCCGTAAATTAAAAAAGAACAAAAATCAGTAACTTATGTGTTCTTCCAGACTGCCCTTTACATCTATGCCAAATTACATCCAGATCTGTTCAGCCGTTTAGGCTACAAAATATAACAAACGTCCATCCATCCATTTAAACTTTCACATTTATAATATTATTATGGAGTATGATTTTAAAACACATATTGATTAACTTTGTTGTGAATTACCTGATACTGTTTGAACTCTGTACGTATACGCCAGCCTTTATCATAAGCGAGGGTGTGTCGATCTTTCTGGAACAATGTGTTGATCCTTGGTATACCTCTATCCCAGGAATCTTCCAGATCTTCGAGTGTCAGACGTCTGTAAGGTAATGCATTTTTTTTGTTTTGTACAATATTGTTTAATAATTCAAATACATTATAATTAGATATGTATTAATCAGATAGCGTATTATCAGACGCAAGGCGCTACGATACATCGCGGTCAGCGAGCTCGTAGTCACCAGACGCCTCCAGAGCACATGGCTTCTCTGGTTTCTGGACCCCTACGCGATTCATCACCTCAATGTTTTGTGCCAAAAATACAAATATTTTTGCTGCAGAAACGATAGTTCAGTGGTAAACAAGAGAGCGCTTAGTATGAGAAATCCTAAGTATAATTTATGTAATCACTAGCTTACGCTGGCGACTCTGTCTTGTGGAATAAAAAATCCAAAACTAAGTACTCTGTGTCCCCCTAAGACTAACCTCTACGACTATACAAAATCTCAAAGTACAAATTTGTCATTATATAGGCTTTAAAATAGTACCTTACCTATTCTGAGCATTGGCCTCCTGTCTCTTGAGCGCGTACTCCGCCCAGACGCGCTGAGAGTCCACAAACTCCGCCTCCCAGGGTTGGATGTAGCGGTACAAGTTGGGGATCAGCTGGTCCTCGTCGTGCGACATACCGGAGCGGAAGTGAGTGATGCCTACATCCGTTTGCTTCGACCAACGCAGGTCCGACTGGGAAAAAGGTAATTTTAAATTAATAACATTTGAATATATTAGATTTTCAATTTTATTGCTTACTAGCTTTCGCTAGCGACTCCGTCCGCGTGGAATTAAAAAAAAAAAAAACAAAAATACGTAGCCTATGTGTTCTTCCACACTATTACCTACTTTCATGCCAAATTTCATCATCGAGAAATTTATCATTCATCGAGACCCTTTTAGCGGTTTAGGCTACAAACTCTAACATACATCTATAAATAACATACATACATCTATAAATAATATTAGTAAAAAGTAAGATAAACATAATTTCAAGTACGAATTTGGTTAAAAAGATTTTGTTACTGCACCAATATATGAGTAATTCTTTACCTGTGGTATGAGAACATGTCCCATAGACAACATTCCGAGACCTCCCAACTCCTTCGGCGTGTAGAAGACGACGGGCGGGAAACGCGAGGGCATTTTGGAGTTGAGACCGATCTTGATACGGGTCTGGATTTTGTTCTCGCATTTCACCAACAAGTCCAACAACTCTTGAGTGTTGACGACGGCCTCTCGGAAATATGTCATTAAACCTTAAAAATAAAAAGTATATCAATAACACTTCCAATTATGCTCCTTTTTTAGCACTATTGTTTATGTATATTAGATCAGAAAGCGTATTCTCAGACGAACAGCGCTACGGTACGTCGCGGTCAGCGCGCCCGCAGTCGCTGCCCGCCCCCAGGGCACAGGGACTCCCTGGATTCGGGACCCCTACGCGATTCATCACATCAACAATTTGGAAAACTGCATTTACAAGTAACTTAATTAAGTTTCTTTGCATAAACTATAACTTCGCGAGTTTTAATTCCCATAAACCGCATTGAACGTATAAAGTACTAGCTATTGCCCGCGACTTCGTCTACGTGAAATTGTAAAACAGTGAAAAACATAGCTTCAGCAATAATGTAGCTAATGGTGAAGAAACAATTTTTGAAATCAGCCTAGTAGTTTTAGATTTATATGAATACATACAATACAAATCTTACCTCTCTATAATAGTAAGAATCTATCTCGATAACCGTTGCGACAAATTTAACGTTTTTGCGCATATAGGTTGTTAAAAGTTTAGTTTTAGTGTTAACCCACATTAAAGTCAGCAATAAAGTGATTTTTTTTTACAAATAGATGTACAAAAACTTAATATTCTATTAATCATACCGATGAGGGCTGTGTTCCACTTGTTGACGATCTTCGTGAACGTGGTGGAGCCCGACGCCATCAGTATCTGTCGCACTCTGTTGTGGAAGCGCGCGAGGGACTCGTCGTCTACGCGCAGGTAGCACTGCGCCGTGCGCTCCTTCGTCACCTCGTTCTGTAAGTTCCACACGCCATCGCGGTGCGACAGCTCCTCGTGCTGGCTGCGACACTGTGCAAACATTTAATGAATGTATTACGAATTCATGGAAATAATAGTCAAGGGCCTGTCCCACCAAATAGTATATTGTCTGACAATCGAAGGTGTTAAATATGTGATGGAAATATCGGCTTTTGTTCCCTTATCTGACAGTGATGTCATTTTCTTTTATCAGCCAGTGGTGGGACAGGGCCTAAATGTTAATCTCACTAGCTGTTGCCCGGGACACCGTCCATACAGCATTAGAAAAATATGAACTTGTGTGTTCTACCAGTCTACATCCGTTTAGCTAATGGGAAATACCTTTTAACAACATCCATCCATCTATCTAAGATTTCGTATTTATAATATTAAAAGTAACATAGAGTGTAGCTTCAAATGCGTTTAAACCTGGATTCTCATTATTAACATTAAAAATTAAGATGTAATTTTACATTACAGGTGTGGAAAAATATAGATTGATGTAAAATGTAATTTACCTTAGGCAAGATTCTGCATTCAAAGCCGGCCATGTTGAACAAGAGATTTGGATTATCCTTCGAATAAACGGAGACGAAGCTGTTCTCCCACTGTATGGTGGTAACTGAACGCGGCAGACGATTCTTTATGTCCCAGAACACTGCACGACCCCTGTGGAAGTAAATAAACATTACTTTATTTTTCCAAATACTTCATAAATCCTATAATAAATATAAAAATAATCTCATAAAGTCCTGACATCCAGAAAGCACACTATAGTAATAAGGATAGTTTTTTGCTACAAATAATTGCGTGATGTATACATAGTTTTCGTTCAGAATATCTTTATAATATTCACATCATACCTGTTTACTATCACCAATAAAATGTTTGTATTTGTATTTACAACTAGCTAATTAATGGTGAAAGAACTTTTGAAATCGGCTTAGTAGTTCTTGAGTTATTTCAATACATACAAAAATACAAATCTTTCCTCCTTATAATATTAGTATGATACAGATAATGTACATACAAGTTGACATCATGTTTCATAAGCCGCATACGAGCATCACGCGGCCAGCACTTCTTGTTATTGTAGCCCACAATATTCTCGTTGTTAGGGTCGGGGTGCTCCGTCAAATAACGCTGGATCAGATCACGTGCCTCTTCTGCAGTGAACCTGGACATAGAAAAATTCAAATGTACCATAAAACACTACTTTCAAATGAAGTATTTGTTATAATATCGATATGTTGCAAATATATGCAACACCTCGACAATCGTCCATGAATTTTGACACCAATAACCCTAGAAATGGCAAGTTCTACATGCACAAACGAAAAATTTAACAAGATGAATTATTATCTATCTATACTTAATGTAGCATAGACACACTACTTAGTTTTTAACATAGCAGATATTTGAATAACTCTCTTTTAAATAAAAAGCAATACACTTAAGACACACTTAAGGCTATACATTTTCACGCTCTTTAACTTGGGGGTAAACGTATTGGATTGAATCAAGCAGAAAAGAGGCATGTCAGTCATGGTTACTGATAAACAATTCTGTCAATGGCAAGGGCCTTTATGCCATACAGTTTATATAATTTTGTATACATAAATTTGGGTTATCTTACCTGAAGAATATATGAATCCTGTCGACATATCTGCAGTAGAGTCGTATGGGGTGGTTGACCTCCGTCTGCCTGTCCTGGTAGGAAAGGAAGTCGTTGGGCAGCTGCGGCGGGCCGGCCATCTCGCTGGCGCGCTGCAGCCCCAGCACCAGCAGGTCCAGCACCAGCCCGTAATACTGCACGATGAACGATGCGAACTGCAGCCCGCGGATGATGCCGTACGAGTTCGTGTGGTTCATGTCCTGCAAAGTTACAATTACATTTATGTTTAAAAACATATATTCAGTCAGTAAAATTAACGACTAGACAAAATTTGAAGAAAAAAGTGTCACTTTGGTATTACATTTCCTTAGGGTAATAACCTTTTTGAATTGACATATGTTTGCAAATAAACGACATGATACTAAATTCATTATTATTTTAAAATTTCCGACTTTACCAAATCTCTAGCAGGGAAACAACTGTAATGTAACTATAAAAATTTTAATACGCAATAGAATTTAAACATGAACTATTATATGTTTTTCTCGTTATTAGCTAATAATTACCTTTTAAAAGGGTAAGCTTTGTTAAAAGTTAAGGCGATATTAATCGTATACACTTCATACCTTGTAGTTGATAACGACGTTGTTCTTAGCGGTCATGTAGTCAGCAATATTGTGGTCAACGATGAGTCGCAGCAGTCTATTGAGCAGGGTCAGATCGATCTTCTCGTACAGCTTCTCGAAGCGGGACTCTAGCAGCACGTTGCATTCACCTTCACCAACCTCCCACACCTCTTGTAGGTTATTGATACCTAGAAACAACAAAAACATTAATTTAAAAATTATATACTCATATATTCTTTTGGTGCCATCTCCTAACTATAGAACGCATTTTATTGTTTTGGCGAAGATTTTTAAGCAAAGATACTTCTCTTTCCTGGACTTCTTTTCTGTATTATCTTACCCTGAGGCATGTATACATGTGAATAAATCAGACAAAAATGGTGATTTCATGTCATGTGTTAGTGTGTCAGTAGACATATTTTCTAAATTATTAATAAAACTTTAAATACAAGCTAAAAGATTCAATTAGTAAAGAAATATTCCAATTTTCTTCATGTTTCATTTGTTCTTGAACACTGAAGTGTATGCAGCTAACCAAAGTGAGGTTTGTAACAAGGGGATGGTACAACCACAAGAATCTCCTTTGCCACAACGCACACTATGGGTATCTGCCGATATGTCTTCATTTACACTGCTACAGTAAATCTTCTTACCCTAGACTTGATTTCTCATAGAAAAACATTTTATCTCACTATATTCAAATAGGATAAATGACAAAGTTCTTCTGAATGATTTTTTTTGTAGTCAAAATGCACGTTAAAGAGAAACAAGTACTAGTCTTTTCAAGTAACTTGACCCGCCAAGTGCTCTCACTATGCACCACTTTAGGCCCTGTTACACCAGAAATTGTGCCCTGAGCAAAGATTCTTACAATGTTCCCGGCTGGCAAAATATATGACAACTGTACCGAATTAGCGAAGGGATTATCATGGCCCGAGTACAAACGCAGAGCACAGAATAGTAAGCTGGGGTCGCACAATGGACGCCCTTTATTCTACTACGAGGACAGGACATTAAGTCAAATAAGACATTACCTTGACACCATTTGTAGACGAGCAATGGCGAGGGTTCCGTGTCTGCTGGCTTGACCCAGGGCGGCAGTAGGCGGCGCTTGTCCGCCTCGTACCACAAATACTGGTCTAGATACGCGTCTGTTATTTTTTCCAGTGGTTCTACATCGTACACTGGTACAAGATGAGAGTACAGGTCCATGAATTCAATGCCCACCTGTGAAAGTTACATTAGAATTACTCCTCTTAAATATAGTCCATTCATAACTTAATGTGACTGTGGTCATTTTTAATCTGTACAAGTGATAATATTTAATCTGCTCAAGTAATAATTTAAATGTGAACTATTTTTAAATTTGTAAAATATTTTATTAAACATATTATGATAACGAGAAAACAATATTTTAAAATTTGTGTATAGGAAATGTTCGCGGAAATATTGAATTCTACTTTTTTAAATTCATTAAAAAACATTCTATGCAGACAAAATTAAATTACAATTTTAATAAAGTAAATACCTCTCTAAAGGTTCTCTGTGTGAGCAAATGACGCTTGATTCTGGAGAGTGCCTCGTGCGGGTTATCATACGCCTGCTCTATAAGTCCCAGCTCCTCTCGCTGACTCTGGTTGAGACGAGACTTGACACTGTAAGCCTCCTTCAGTCTCTCCAGCGCAAGGATCAGCAGCTTCGTGTCGTGCTTGTACGACAGCGGCGGGAACGGTATGGGAGCGAACCGACGAGATTCAAGCCAGTGGACTGTCGTTGTGTAGATCGCCACGGCTTCTTCTGGTGAGATGTATGGTCCATCCTGAAAAAAATCATTTATTACAGAAACTAATTGGACCTAGTATAAATATATCGTTATTTTTACTAAGTTAAGTTTTCTTTAGTCACTGTTAAATTTGATTCAATACTTGGTATTTTAACTACGACTTCGTTGTATTTGTTCCTCGAACCAACATTTTGAAGATACTTCTTTATGCGACCCAAAGTAGCACTTAGGCATTATTGAATAATTTAGTTTCACAGAGCATTTCAATCTTTTTTCCTATCCTCGGCATCGCGGTACACCTAAGATTGTGTTCTGCGCAGACTTGAGCATGCGTTTGATATATACCTTCAAATAGTTATGTTGTCGCTCCTGTTCAGCCTTGAGGTAGAGTCTGGTGAGTCTGCCGAGGTTCTTCTTGCAGACGGTCTTATCGACGGTGGCGCCGCGACGGATGCGCTCACGGTTGTAATGCGCGGTGTTAGTCCACCAGTCCGCCTTCATCTTCACGTAGCGGAGGATCATGTTCTCGATCGGGGTTGGTAGACCTGGCACCTGGTACACAATACAATATAATTAAATGTTGCTTTTTATTAATTAAGAAAAAGTATATTTTGTTTTAATCCACAAATATAAACGCAAACTTCACATTTACCCCTGAAACTAGTAAATTACAAAGTTTTTCGTATATAACTACAGAAAATTTGTTTTTTTTTTTGTATAACATCACTTTGCTTTATCTGAAGATTTTTAAAATAACTGAAAATGTAAAATAAATGAATTTGATGTTTATTTATTTCATTTCTGCTTTAGATTGAAATGAAATCGAGGAAAGGTTAAGATAAATTATAACTATTCTGTGTAACATCAAATTAAGCTAGAGCCACACTAACCTTCCACGGAATATTCGCCTTCCAGCACCTCCATGCCTCAGAGAGATGTTGCAGGATAGTCCTGGCCTTGTTCTGCTTGATACCTTCGGGCATCATGTCCACGATGTCGTGCATCACGGACGCGCGCAGCTCCAGGTCGAAGTGGGACTCGACGCGCTGCTTTGTCACCGTCTTTGCCACACCTAAGTAATTGCCAGAGTTAATTGTCTCCCTTATTGTACATTAGTGCTACAATAAGAATATTAAAGCATACAAATACATTTCTATATTAATATTATAAAGACCAAAAATTTTGATTTTTGGATGATTTTTATGTATTGAAATAAGTCAAAAACTACTGGGCCGAAGTCTAAAATTCTGGCAGCATTAAAAAGCTATGTTGATTACATAGACTATGTTTTTTTATTTTTTTTTAATTCCGCGCGGACTAAGTGGCAAGCAATAGCTAGTAGGGATTAAAAGATCTTACCTTTAGAATGTCTTCCCTCGAATTGTCGAGACAGAAGGTTGCCGAGCCAACGTTCAAGTAATGGCGTTATACCGCGCATAAAGAACAGCCATACACGCCATCCTGGAGCCCAGAAACCGCAACCTGGACCCTTTGACACTGGACCCTAGGGGAAAATACTTTATCAATAGTATGTCAAAAAGAGTTAAATATATTTCAGTCATTCATAAACTTTACCAATGTTTTTTTACTAAAACTATGTAACTAACATTATAAATGCGAATGTTTAAATGGATGGATGGATGTTTGCTAGAGTTTGTAGCCTAAACAGCTAAATGGATCTCAATGAAATTTGGCATAGATGTAGAGCATAGTCTGGGAGAACACATAGGCTACGCACTTTTGTTTATTTTAATTCCACGCGGACGGAGTCGCGGGCAAAAGCTAGTAATCAATATGTCAATAATCTGTTTTTAATAAAAAGAAAACAAAGAGAAATACAACAAATACAGACTTAATAATTAACTTACAGTATTAAATCTGTAATAGATGAGATGTTTCAAATCCTTGCACATCCTAATCTGCCTCATAAGTTTATACTTGTATCTGTACATGCCGGTCAGCTGACCAACATGAGCAAAGATATACTGCAGACCGTCAGCTAACTGGAAGGAGTCCACGTTGTTCAGCCGATACTGAACGTGAGAGTCCACTATCAGCTTGGTGAGACGTAAGATCTCACGACATAAGTGGAACGCTGAAATTATTAAATTATATTTATGTTTTATCAGAAATAAAAATACACTTTCCATTTTGCCACATTCCAAAACCATCAAAATTATTTGAAAGTGCCCCCAGACCAGGCTTTTCTTACATAGGTAGGGGTACGAAATGTGGTATTTTCTAAATATTATTCATATGAGGGTAAACTTTGCAGTTAATTTTAGTTTCGGAATTTGTGTATACTGTTATATTTAAAGCATAAAAGTAAAAAATGTTATGCAAATAAACTTACCATTTCCGAAACGTGATTTCTTTCTCTCCTTAGTGGTCAGAGTTTTGACTGGTTTCAAGTTGAAATTATAGTCCAGATGGAGGTAGTTGAGGTTTTTGCGGTGAATCAACAGGTTAAGCATATTGTAACCCTGTCTGCATACTTGTAAACCAGCTTCTACCCAGTCCAATGTTGTTGTTTGGAAGAACTTTGTTGATTTGAATGATCGGAAAAGATACCTACAGGACAAATTGGATAAAAGTTAATACAAAGTAAAAACTATGAAATATCCTTTATAAAACATATCAATCTTTAAAAACTATTTCAATTTAATTTTTACATAAACTTACCTTTTCTTCTGTGGCTTCGGAGGTCTATGCTTCAATGCATTCAGTACATAATACTTGAGCAGTTTCTGGTAAGAGACCCTGACCTTCACTGGTTGTCCGGGGGGACAGTGCTCCTTGTACCAAGTCTTTACCAATGGCACATCAATAGCACGTCGTGAGCGTCCTGTAGATAGACAATTACATTATTATTCATGACAAATTTCATTAATAGTGTAAACATACCCACACAGAGTTGTTAATTGGTTACTAAGTAAGACCTTTAGAGTAGATTTAGTCTTAAAGCAATGCAGGAATAGGACATTTACGAATAAAAAAAAAATTAGTAACTTATTTTATACACCTGTGTCAAATTTTATCAAGAACATACATAGGGACATAAGTAGAAGTAAACCTTCATCCATCCATCTAAACTTTTGCATTTATTATTAAGAAAACTATTCTCACCTGATCTCATGTTAAATGGTCTTGGTGCCCATAACAAAGCAATGCCATTAGCAGTGTTGTCAGTGTACAAAGCAGTCTCTTGGAGGAATGGTGACACTTCCTCGGGAAGAAGAAATTCATCTTCTTCTGGAACCGGGTCCAAGGATTTAACAGAGTGTCGGTGTGAAATGGGGTTGATAAGTGGGTCAAAATAGAAAGCTGGCAGATCAGGATCTTCAGTTTTTATGTAAACCACATTTGGAGTGTGATACCTAAAAATTAGGAAATTTTAATGATACTTATGGAGGACAATAGAAGTATAGAGTAAAAATAAATAAAAATTATAGTATGGTTGTTGTAGAATTAATTGTTTAATGGAACAAAAGTGGACTTACCATGACAATTGTACAAAATGTGGCAAATTGTTATACAGATATGGGAATGCAATCCTGTACTCAGTTCTGATTGGCTGTCTGATAATAATTTTATTGATGTCATTGAATTCATTCCAATCCTCATCTCCTGCTGAGTTATCTTTGACCAGTGGCTCAAATTTAGGCCCACCTGGTATCGCCATATTCAAAGCTTTAGCAGTGAAGAAACTTTTTGAATCAAACAGATAGAAGTAGTTATCATCCACCAGATCTGTTAATAGTTGATTGGCGAGACGATACAGTGTCGCCATCTGTGGTAGAGTCAGATTCCACTTTCTGTATGTAGAACCATTCACATGCATAGTCCCCATGAGAGGTTTGTGATCATAAAACCATGATGCTACCGCTGCATCTTCTTCAGGGTCTAATTCAATCTGAATTGGCTCCAACGGTTCAACATCAAGAATATTATCTGCATAATCCAATGGAGGCTCCTCATCATCAAATGGAGGAAATCTCATACGCTTGAAATGTCTTCTGTCACGTTTCTCTCTTCTCATCATAATCCACATAGTGCCCCACTGTGCTATGTAAACTGGCTCTATTACCCATGGTATCTCATTTACGAATGTTATAGCACCAGTAATATGGTATAAAACCTTTACATCTCTGATCTGTTCCCAGGGCATAGGCATGTTTTCTAGGAGCTTCATAACTGCATGTGGCATGTATTTAAGAGCTCCGAGGTAGACTCGTTTGTCATGTCGGTATTTACGACTTGTCATATCACCATGGTCTCTAATGATCTTTCTAATGTGCTCAGGTGGCATGTCCTCTTTTTGGGCATCCACAAATCCGAACTTGCGCTTGTCGGCAAATCGTTTTGATTGTAATTGTAACCATTTTTGAGCTAAAATATATTCATAAAATTAGGTTACAAACATTCTAATAAGATTAGAAAAGAGTTGAAATTTTATAATTGCATATGGAACATCTATAAATGTATGCAATAACAGCATTTTCTATTAAAACTCGAATAGAAAATTATATCAATTGCAATATTTAATATACCCTCCAAGAAATAGTTTATACACATTGCTAAAATTGATAAACCCTGGACATACAGAAGGGTTGATCTGATTATTTAACATTTACATTTTCAATAATGTTGTCTATAAATTTTTTATCTATCTAATACTATCTATTTCATATTAAGCTTAATTGGACTTAAATTGTGTAAACAAATAAATTTCCTAATTCAAACAAAAATTACACCTGATGGTGCAATTGACAAGTTACAGGAGTAAAATATCTTTGATTTAAAAATATTTACATTTAATATAGTAAAATCAAGGAACAAATATAGTGAATTAATTTAATAGTTTAGGTTTGTCTATTAACCTATAGGTGCAAATAGAGATTAGTTTAACAACATAAGAATATGGGTATGTTTATACCCTTTTCCTTTATTTTCTCTTCCGGTATATGGTGCGGTTTTGGCGGCTGCGATGGCGGCACCGGAGGCATGACAGCAGCGGCGGCGGCGTGCGCTTGCAGCGCGGCCTGTTGCGCCGCCGCCAGCTGCTGCTGCGCCATCATAGTGGCCCAGGGGTTGGGCCCCAGAAGGTACGGCGGCAGCGACATAGCTGCGCGCCTTCTATAAACATCAACACACACTTAAATTATAGAGCTTTCTCAAGTGACGATAATCGTAATGGCTATAACACCGGCAAACAAAAAGATATAAAAACGTAATAGAACTTACTTTTCTCCTATGCTACAGTATGATGATGAATATTTCTAGTAGTTTTAAACAAAAAAAAAAAAACAAACTTTTCGGTTAAAAGTGTCTACGAACACGCATTATTAAAACGGCGGCCATTTGTAAGTTATGTTTTATTTCAATAGTGATTGACAGTTCCCAAACGGAACTTGTAACCATAGATAAAAGTAAAAAACCGGTGAAATGATTAAAAACGATAACGTACCCTAAGTTTACCTGTACACAGAATTATCAATTGTTTCCATGATCAATTTAATTTCTTTAGTTTGTAAAAGTGATCCAAAAACATAATGCTACTGTCTTAATCAAAGAAGAAAATTAACAAATGCCCAAATAAATTATTTTAAAATGAAACACATATTGTTTTAATTTAATTTATTTCAGTAACATGCCTTAAACGATATTTTCAACAATCATCATCTCGAAAGCCGGCAGGAGGAGTTAGTATTATTGTTTCCAAATTATCCTGATGGAGATCAGGATAATTAACATGGATTTGTTTGCTTAAATTTATTTCCTTGATAGTTTCTTCCATCAGTTCTTCATCAGTAGATGTAGGATCAAAATTTTCACTTGAGCTAGAAGAACTAACATACTCACCAATAATTTGTGTGAGAGCATCCGCATCATCGGTATCGTTTGCTAAAGTAGTACTTTCATTTACTTCGTTGTTTAAAATTATTTCATCACAAATTTCCATTTCTTCTTCAGCATTAATATCTGCGTAACTTGAGTTTTTAGAATTAACAATCGCATTATTCTCTGCCTTAGTGAAATCATCTTTCAAACCCGATTTATTAACAAGCGGTGAACAGTTAATGTGGATTTCTGTAGAGGTGTCTATTGTGTGTGACAAATCATGAAAAACAAGTTCATTTTGAAAACCAATATCTCTTAATTTACTACCTGGGACTGTATGCAATAATTCTGTTGACGATTTCACAGATACATGATGGCTATTTGCATCATTGGCACTGTAATTATCACTTTGAGCATTATTGATATGTAATTCTGAAACGTTAGACTCATTTCTACTTGATGACTTCCTTTCATTAAAGGAATACATTTCTTGGTTCTTCGAGGGTTCCATGAGCACTTGACCATTATTCAAACTATTTTCCGAAGAAACATTAACGATAGGACTAATGGAGTTAGTACATTTACTTTTTTGCGTCCTAATTCTTTCGATTAATTCCGGATTGTTTGTTTTGAATGTAGAAATAATTTCTTGTACTTTCATTCTGTTGTTAGGTTCTTTTCTTCTTTGTTGTCTTATGTCTGCTTGCAGTTTGTAGAGTATTTCGTCGTCAGTTTTTTCTTTAGCTAAATATATCTTTGGCTAAAAAAAATCAACGAAGTTTTATGTAAAAATATGTTTGTTGATTTTAAAGAAAATATGCCTGAATGTTAGGTTTAAAACGGTTACCGTTTGATTTCTTGTGATCAATTCTGCAAGTTCCCATGCAAAATTTACGGTATCTTCAGGTAAATTGGTTTTAGCAGCTAATGCTAACCCGTAATGTTCAACCGTCGTGACGCCTGTTTCTATTTTATGTTGATAGACCAGTCGGCGCTCAGTGCTGTTAGTATCTATAGCCTCTTCTGTTACCATAGTATATCGGCTGTTGTAAAGATACAAATTAAATATTATTTAAGGTTATAAAAAGCTTTATATACCAAGTTTTTTTACAGCCATCACACTAATGAGCTATATTTTATACGATAACAATAGTTTTGTATGATTAGTTCTTTTATTTAACTAATAGTTTTGTCTCTCATAAATGGATCCTTACTTGACAACGTTGTAATATAAGTCCTGCAATCTCGTTAAATATAAAAAGTGGGTAACAAAAAATGTAAACGCCTGACTCTTTATTAATTCTTCGCAAACAGCCCAAGCTAAGCTAGTTCCTTCGTCGGAGCACGTTCCCCTAATAAACAAAGAAGTTTAGTGATGTGAAGTTTACTTCATTAAAAATGTTTTTACCAACGTTTTAGGCTTACCTGCACAATTCGTCTATGATAATAAGACTAGTGGGTGTCAGTCCAGCAAGTATATGTTGGGTTTCCTTTATCTGTGTGTAATTAAAAAAAATTTAAAGCCGCATGCGGAATCGTAGAGCGTACAGCTCTTCCATACTAATGTTCAGTTAACGATATTTCTGGTTCATACTTACCTCAATAACGTATGTAGAGGCATTAAATTCAACACTATCGTTAAAGCCTATTCTAGAGAAGATACGGTCGCAAAGTCTTAACACCGCGTTCGTAGCGGGCACGAAACTTCCCAACTATAAATATCAAATTGTTTATGGTTTATTACCAAATGCGAAAAACGATAATATTTAAAGACCGTAAATGACGGAAAAACGCCAAATTAGTTATGTTACGTCTTGAATAGTTTATTTGTAAAATTGTTTCCTTGTTTTGTAATGGAATTTGTACATAAATTGTTTTCAGTATTTATAGAAGCCATGCTTATAATACCTGCGCCATGATTTGTATAATAGCAATTTGTTTGATATAAATACTTTTGCCGCCCATATTAGGTCCTGTTATTATAGTAAAGTTGTACTCAGGACTGGCAAACTGAAAACAATTATTTTTTGTTACACTTTTCAACAATAAATTATGTGTTTGTGTAATTCCGTACAAAAAAGTATTTTTCTTACTATGTCATTGGGTACGGGCATCGTTTGACTGTTATAGTCTAGGAGCGGGTGTACGGAGTTCCTCACTTCCAAGTAAACATTGAATTCAGGTCTTATATAAGAACCAATTGAACTAGTCTAGAAAAATTGTTAATAATATTTGTTTAAAGTTAAGAAACGTTGCCATATTTGTTAAAAAATATCATAAAAACATACTTGGGCTATAGCTATTAAGATATCCAGCTCGGCAACGTTCTCACAGAGTTTGTAAAGACTTGACATGAAAGGACGTAACTCTTTAAGTAATTCCGATACCACACTGAAATTTTATTCAGCTTAAATCTAAGATATTCCGTTATAACTTAACAAAAAAAATTAAACTGTTAAATAGGGGTTTTTACTACAAAAGTTATAAATGAAAGACATAACTGAAAACGCTGCAAAACACAGACGAAAATATTAAGAGTTGACTAACATAAAATACAAACATGTTACTCATTTTCTGTATTTCGTTAAGGGATTCCTTCGCTTGCTGATCCAAAACGACAAGTTCCTCTGTAGACATCGTAACGCTTGTCCCGTTGAAATGCACCTTTAATATAACTGTTATTTATGACTGACAATAAAACCACGGAGATATAAAACGAGAAAAGTTATTTGTATTTCTCTATGAAACTGTTTTTTTTAAGTATCTGCCTACCTGTATAAATATATCTGGTAAATCTTCAACGTTAAAGTCTCTTCTGTTCTTGGGAGCAACCGGTAGAACTATGTGGAACCCTTTCATAACGTTTTGGTTTAATCTGAGAGGCAGGTCAAGAGATTCGCTGAGTTGTTCTATAACCTTCTGTATATCTTCTATTAATTCAGAATAAGTCCTTCTAGCAACGTCTAGAAGGCCGTTTATTTCAGGTCTAACAGCGAAGCACCTTTGCAAGCTTCCCATTGCACCTTTTTCTAAATGTGCATCGTCTTGAATAATTTTACGTATTCGTTCGTAAATTTCGTTGTAATGAGAATTTTCGAAATCCTAGTTAGAATTATGAACCATTATTGTAAGATTTTATTGGTATTGGATTAAATTAGACTGTTTTGCGTATTGGTCCTTTGAGCAGGATCTAGACTTTTAAAATTGTATTATTAAATGTTACCATTTTTATTTTTCTCAACCTGCCGCTTTCTACCGTTCTTAGAGCTTCTACTAACTTTGGCACCGTCTCCATAGTCGTTTTTAAAAGCAACGTTTGGTTTAATTGAGCCTCACCAAATTTCTCCATGTTAAAGTTCGGAGGCTCCAAGCATAGAAATAATATTTTATCGATTTCGGATAGCTTTTTTATTATGTCCTGCATCATTAATGAATAAATTATGTATGTTACAAACGTTACCAATAGCCGACTATTACCACTTACCTGCAAATCGACCATCAAACCTGTGTCGTTCTCAATCAATTCCTGTACAGCATCTAATCTCGCTTCAATAAAGTCTTTGTTGCAAGAAGGTTGTAATATGTTGGCTCTCAAAGCCCGTATACCCCCTACAGTGTAAGTGGGGCCTAATACACCAAGCAAGCAACACGATGGTCCGGCCGACGGCACTAGTGGCTGAACCAGTTCTAATTGAGTTGCTGTACCTACATCTGCACAAAAATATTGTTAAACATACAATAAATATTGTCGTTTACTTAAGGGACCAGCGAATTTTAAAGATCTAATTAAGATTACCGATGATCATGGTATCCTCTGAAGAATGGTATTCGATCTTCAATGATTCTCTAGCGAACACTATACATTGAATGTATTCGACGTACTTCAATACCGCAGCAGCTGATGTTACAGCATAGAACCTAAAACATTTATGTTCTTGGTCATTTTAGGTGTAATATCAGTAGTCGAGTAATCTTTTTTGAAACTAACTTTTGAACCACTTGCAAGCAGACCGCACTGTACTGTGGAGCGCAGAGGGACTGTATCTGTTGGCGACCGGCGGCATCATTGAAGTGCCTCCTTTGGACCGTGGTCAAGTTGACCAGTGGATAGTGGTCTTTGATTAGTTTGTACAGCTGACTCGGTTGTGTACCTTCACAGAAGGTATGCGGGACTATAATCTGAAAAGTAAGTTCTCATCTCTGTAATTTTCAAGGTCGGGGCAGTGTATCAGAAGTTACTATAATTCTTTACCTCTACAGGATTGAAGTAATTTATCTTAGTTAGAGTGTGTGTATATAACAGGGTGTCGCTGAACTGGCATAGCACGAGGTGTGGGTGTTTGAGGTCCACGGCCGCCATGCCTATTTCCCCACGAGCCATACCTCTGCCTTCGGATATTGCTACAAATATTAATTTTTGTAAGATAGATTCTCCTACTACGATCTAAAATATACGCGGATTAGTCGATACGTTACCTAATATAACAGCTGCTTCTACCACAGAAGCGGATGTTGAGCGTGCAGATTTATTACCGCTGAATCCACCTGATAACGTGTCAAAGGGAACAAGATAGTGTTTTAATTTCTTGCCTCCAGAAAGAAAGACAGCGAAGACTAGTGTTTTTCGTCTCTCTTATCGCCTAATCTCCTATTTAATATTGAGTCTCACCTTTACTACTACTGCTAATGTATCTGATAGCCGCAGGTCTACCCTTCGGTGTTACAAAGTCTAGGGAAGTATCCGCAGCCCCGGAATCACTAGCTAGTACCCTAACACGGGCTTGACTACTTGAAGAAGAATCCGGTCTTGCAGAACTTGAATTGTATGTTAACCTAAATGAGTAATGAATTTTGCTTAGACGTCATAAGTCACAATAGCGATCGCCACACAATTTGATTCCACTGTAGCTGTAGATAAGCGCCCGATAAACGATGAGTTTTTTGTGACTTTTTTTGATCGAGACATTCTTCAAGCAGTTCAAATATGTACAAAAACGAAACATAAAGCAGCATACCATAAACTTATTTGACAAAGACGTAAAAAAACGAATTGAAATACTGAAGAGATTATTTAGATACAAAGAAAATTTACTTAAACCTCTATAAATCAAGAAAATCATCTGCGTTCTTAGATATGCCGTTTAATTTTACACTAATTAATTGGTAAGATAAAATAAATTTGCAATATTCGTATTATCAGAGCACGCGGTGATTGTGTGCCGACTTTTATCTATACAATGTTACAATGATTCATCAAAATTGTGTACAACTTCTTCACTGTAATTGTAAATACGAAATCACGAATATAAATGACACAACAAAAAATGATGTGCGTCCTGTACGTGTCCTTTGACTCCTTTGCGCATATAATGTCTCACGAAATATGCGATTGTGTGAGTGATATAACGAGGCATACATTTTTGAGTCTATCTAGCGATCTAGGAAATGTGTTTAAATTAATTTTTTAATCAATTAGTTAACAGTGGTAGAGTCCGCTTTAACATTTTCGCACGAACGGGCCGGCTCGCCCGGTGCAATACCACGGCCACACAGAAGACAGGCTTCAAGTTAAAACAATTCCGCGTTTCGTCTGATTAGTGTGGTGCCGGATGCCAAACATATACACTTTTCTTAAGAGGAAGGGATGGGAAGGGTACGTGGATTTGACTATGGAGGAGACACGTAGGAAGAGGAAATATCTTTTTTATGTGCGTCTCCTCCTCCGTTGATTAAAAGTAGGCAATGCATTTGAAATTGCGGATGTTTATAGACAGCGGTCGCTACACCATTTCGGCGATTTCGGGTGACCGTTTTTGCTCGTTTGCCAACTTATAAAATAAAAAAATCAATCGTCGCGTCGTCCCAAGAGTAAGTCATCAATAAAGATGCAAAGTAAAGAGTTTATAGATTTTCCTTGAAATCATGTTTGTTTTTATTTTGTTATCGAGTACTAATAATGTAAGTGATTCCCCGTTTCAACATACAACGGGACTTAAAGAGGGGATGTTTTATTGTCTTAAGAATAATCTCAAAAACATATTCAAAATAAGTAAACATGATAATAAAGAAATGTATGAAATAATTTTATGCGACTATTTTAAACATGCCACTTACCTTCGTCTTAAACCTCGCGGTAAACCTTCCGGTGGTCCCATTTGGTTTCGTTTTGAAATTTGAGTGCGTTCTTCTGCATTAAAATTATATCGTGGTATTTTGTTCGGTGGTAAAATTGTCATACCACCTCGAATGCCTGGATACGAAATATTATGTAAAACTAGCTTTCGCACGCGACTCCGACCGCGTGAAATTAAAAAAAAGATTAGCCTATGTGTTCTTCCAGAGTATCTGCGTCTATACAAAATTTCATCGAAAAATGTTCAGCCGTTTAGGCTAAAAACTCTAACAAACATCTATCCTTCCATCTAAACTTTCGCATTTATGATATTATTTATATATAATATTATTATGAAGTATGATTTTGCATGACAAGAATTTTATAAAACACCAAATTTGGCTTTATCTGAATAGTACTAAACTTTTAACATATCGAAAAGTATCTTAATGTGCTACTTACCTACAGATGCATCTTTTCTAACAAGTTCATTTTTAAATCTTTGTTTTAATTTATTACTGTGCTTATCTCGATGAACAACATTCATCGTGTTGCACTAATACGTATAATTTAAATTTAAACTTTGGTTTGAATTACTTACTTACTTTAAAGTAATCCCATAAAATCACATGAACTTTTTAGAGTTTAAATTTTTCCCTCTGTTTTTCATTCATTTTTCTAGCCGTTATGGTCAAATGTTGCGAAACTTATACTGCCAAGTTTGTCTTTCTATTCTATTCATTTTAGGTAAAATGTTACAATAACGAATTATGCTTTTTATATTTAAACATCATACCTTATAAAGTTTTTTTTTTTTCATTTTTTGCATTAAAACAATTAGATAATGAGAATTAACCGAACAAATAGACAAGACAAAAATCGATCATACTCGTATCAATACATCCACACTCTTAAATGTCATAATAATTTAATGTCAACTGTCAACTGTCAGCACACCTGAAGTTTATTTTATTTTTAAGTTTTCGCTTTTCGGACGTCTATAAAACCGACACCGACAAGAATTTAGTATGTCCGATAGAAAATATATATTTACAACAATAATATGAACAGTACATCAGTTTTTGACCCTGTGTCATATTGATAACCTAAACAAAAATATCAAATATTTGTTTCACCGGCAATTTCCTTCCAACAGGTAAGGTTACAGTTTTCTATTTATTTATTGTTTGAAGAATAAATATACCTAATAATGCTGCAGGTAACAAAAGTAGGGGTAATATCTGATCTATTTCACTAGGTTATTACCTTGGTAACTCCAGATAAACAAATGTGTAGATATTACTAATGTGATAACATTCTATTATGCACAGATATATAAATAAACGTAAACTACTTTGGTGTAAGTGAATGGTATTTTTTTTGTGGTAGATGTGATCTTTGGCTTGACTTTAACCTTATTCTCTATAAGGAGGGGGCAGTTAACTAAAATCTAATTAAGGGTAGCTTTTACTTAGTTATAAATATGTATGCGTTTTATCAGATTTATACTGGTTTTTCAAAGTGTACATAAAAAAAATACATATTTTTATCGGATATAACAGTTTTTGCAGTTGTTTTAAAACAATAAAGTTTTATCACTCCTAGTAACTATCTTTACAAGACTGGTTTGTACCGGTTATATTTGGTAGCAAATGTCATGTTGATTATGTCCCACCACCAATGAGATAGATAATTGATAAACATTTGAAGGAAAATTTTGGTATTCATTATCAAGATTAAATAAATGCATCCTTTGTATATTTTTTATTGAATATTAGTAAAATTTATACCAAATGTTTTTTTTTTTATCATAAAAACAGGCATCAGACAGAATCTGAAATTTTAATTGAGTACATTTAAATAATTAGAGAAGAGTTAAAAGTTCTAGTTGATAATTGACACTTTATGCTTTATGGACATAGGTAGTCCTTAGTTTGGTTATATTAGGAATTTGTAGTCTACATTTTCAAACATTGAGCGTAAGATGAGACCTTAAGAGCTAACTATTTGCTTTGTAGCTTTATACTTAATATTTTTAACATTAGTTATAATGCCTGTGTGGTCTTACATAGGTAATCTATAATGTTATAAAGAGGAAAGATTTGTATTTCTGTATGTATAACTGAAAAACTGTCGGTAAGGTAATTTATCTGTAAGTAGCATAGGCTATGCATTTTTTTATAATTTTTTATCATGTGCATGAAGTCACAAGCAACAGCTAGTATAGTTATATTTTAATTGCTATATAAAGTAAAATTCCACATTGAACATTATTGTTCCCTGTTTACAGTTTTAGATTTTTTTAATGTCATAAACATATTTATCTTTTAATGTGTGTTTATTTGCCAGAATCATATTGCGATCAAAATATATTTATTTAACAAATAAACTTTTATAAGACACGAAACTTATCTTTGCTTATCAGTTTTGCGCTCGGCGCAATTTCGCAAAACAAGTGTTTCCACAAACATTCCATACGCTTCTATCGCGTGTGAGCGAGATAAACGCTGGTTCGACGCCCCTACTTCGAGGATCGCTCGCGTCTGGGCATATGTCTTTCAATGAAGACGATGTCCTGACGTCATTCATAGTACGTAGCTCTCGGATAGCAGTGCTGTAGCTCGCATCACAATGTTATCGCGGGAGGCGCGTGGATATAAGGCGATAAAGATGGCCCGAGTGCACTGTACCCTATGATATCACGATCGACGGAGGCGTGTACGCGGTAGTCAACAAACGGGTTCCGTAAGGTCCTCATTGCAATCGAGTTTCATTACGTTTGATTCGTTCTGTGTAGAAAGTCGTATCTTAACTATCCCACATTAAGAAGAGTGAAAATGGCATTATACAGGTATCTTTTGAATTGCATGTGCATGAACCAATAATTAACTAATTTATTTTTTATCAGTAGAAATATAAAGTGCAATTATATGAATTAGATAGTAACTAAAGGTCATATTGGAGTACTTTACCAAGGTTTTAGATCACGGTCGCCATGATACAATTGTTTACAACGCCAACCGGTTGGCACCGTTAACTAAGTACATAAACAAAAACCTTGTTTGTGCGTTTGTTTCTATATTTATCGTATGCAATGTGACCACAAGTTGCACGCGACTCCGACCTTTTGCCGCGTCAATTGTGTCATTATATGTCGCAGGAAATATCTTGTCACAAGGGGAATGGTTAGTTGGAATTACTGTAATAATACCTTTAGCGTCATACTTCAGTAGTGCGGGTAACGTGATTGTTGATAGGTGTATTACAATACTAGACACTGTGCAAAATTAACAAAAGGTTTAAATTAGTTCTATTTACTTTTAACCGGAACATTTCAATTAGATGAGTAAAAAAACTTAAGATTTTATCGAGTTTACCTAATGTTTTATACATATAAGAAAAAGAGGGGTAGGGAGGGAGGAAAAAGACCGACGATTTAATTAGGCTAACACTTTTATTTTTGTTATGTAAGGTTGGCTGATGTATTACAGCTATTATGACTGGCACTTTCTCTAGGACATATTGTTATAGCATTTTCGACAGCCCTATTGTGAATAAATTAAAAAATGTATGTATATTTGCAGTTTAAAAAGCAACTTGCAGTACGCGACGCTGAAGACGCTGTCGCTGGTGTCTATCAGCGTGATGACGCCGCAGCAGACGGTGCAGGAGTTGTTCAGGACAGCGGACTGCGTGTGCTTCGATGTAGACTCAACAGTTATCCGCGACGAAGGGATCGATGAGTTGGCGAGGTTCTGCGGGAAAGGAGATGAAGTTAAACGACTGTAAGTACCTATGCATTTTAATCTTACTAATATTGTAAATACGATAGATTAAATGAATGGTGGATGGATGGGTGTTTGTTGGAGTTTGTAGCTTGAACGACTGAATGGATTTCGATGAAATTTGACATAGACGTAGATAGTCTGGAAGAACACATAGCCTACTTACTTATGTTTTTTTTTTAATTCCATACGGACGGATTCGCGGGCGAAAGCTAGTTTTTTATAATGAAATCTACCGTATTTATCAAACATAATGTGTGGTGATGAACGGTACAATCTCTTGACATATTAGGAAGATGGGCAACACTGATATTTTCTGATAGTTCAATAATCAAAAACATTCGTTTTTTTGGCAAGGAACCATACGTTTACGTCTAAAATAATTGCTTCCATTTTTTTCGTAATTCGCATTAAAATGTGTCGTAATTCCTTCAAGGTTGTCAATGTTTTCGAAAACAAAAACAAAATGCGTCTCGTTTTAAACAAACTGTCCGGAATCTCAGATAAAGATGTTTATCAACTTCCTTTGTTATTTTTACGTGGATTTCGCATTGCCTACATTCGATGGCCTAGAATAGATTGTATTTAGATTATTATAATAACAAGGTGAATACTTATCCATATTTTCAAAGAATGAAGACACGAATTATCCTTGATCTAATTGATTTATTCGCTATTGAAACTGCACCATTGACTGCATTTTATTTATTGAAAATTTCCAATTAAGCATATAGAAGGGACCTCATGATAAATTTGGTGCCTATGTAACTTCTCGGAATGAGCCTTTTGTTGATTGTATCAGGCGAATAAGTTTTATTGCCTACTTACTTGCGTTGGCGCAGAGACCCAAAGTGGGTCTTGGTCTCCGACACGAGAGAGCGCTAGCGTCGTCTGTCCTGCGTTTTCGCCTGCCAGTCGATCGACTCTAGCTCGCGCAGGTCCAGCTCTACGGCGTCTCGCCAGCGGTATCTGGGCCGGCCGACGGGTCGGCGGCCAATCGGTATTCCGAGATACGCTTTTTTGGCTCCACGATACTCCCCCATTCTCATCAAGTGGCCCAGCCAGCGAAGTTAGTTTACATTGTACTAAAAATATTTGAAGGTATCTTTCGCGCGCAACTCCTTCCGCGTGGAATTAAAAAAAATCAAAAGTATGTGGCCTATGTGTTCTTTCAGACTAACCTCGAGTTCTATGCCTAATTTCATCCAGATCCGACCAGCCGTTTAGGCTACAAACTCTAACAAGTATACATCCATCCATCTATCCATCTAAACTTTCGCATTTATAATGTTAGTAAGATAGTTACATGTAACATGTGCGTCTTGTATCACTATGATAATGTATTTAATCTTCTTTAATACATTGCAATTGTATTAATAGTCTATGTTGTTGTTATTAATGCTAGTATTAAAAATTATCTATAATTGTTATATCTTTGAGTTGGAATCGCAAATATAACGCCAATGGACTTTGTGCTGCACCTTTTTGTATCGTGTTTGCGTTTGTCCTTATCAAAATCACCTTGAAATATTAAATACTGAACCTTTACTAGGTAAATTCAAAAATCAGTTCCACAATGACGTTTAGGTTGATGGATGGATGTCTGTTAGAGTTTGTAGCCTAAACGGCTGAACGGATCTGGATGAAATTTGGCATAGATGTAGAGTATAATCTGGAAGAACACATAGGCTACTTGCTTTTGTTTTTATTTTAATTCCATGAGGGCTAAGTCGCAAGCGAAAGCTAGTAGCTATACTCGTATAAAAAGAAGTCTTAAAATAAGAACCAAATACTCGCTTATGCTCTTTCCTTTACAAACTTTGTAATAATCATTGTATAGCAATTGCTTTACGGGTCAATGTGATACACGTTCTGACACCGCTTTTAACTAGTTTAATAGTTTGCTCACTCCATAATAGCGGGCTATCAATGTAGATTGACATCAAAATATTAGAATACTATAGACATACTTTTATGCTTTTAAGGGCGAAAGGGTCGTTTTTAAGTTGCCAGGATCAATGGTTGGTTACCCTTGTCCTCTGTCGGAGGTAATGGTCCTTGTTGAATCTGAATAGTGATTGAAGAGTGTGTGTTCGAAACAGTCCAATATTCTTTAAAGCAAATGAACGAAAGTTGTTATCGAGGTCATCGGTAAAGTGATCTTAATTTTTATATTTGGTATTCCACATGTAGCGATTGGCTTTTGTTATCGTGGTGTATTATCAACTTTGAAATTGTCTATCACGTGTTGAATGGCGTGTTCTGTTCGCTTGTAAACATAATTCTTATATCACTCGACATGTGTGATTTCTTTGTTGCTATAACAGAATTATTTTAATTGTTTCATTCATTATGTCGCACTTAAAAATTTGTAGCACCTTTTTAACACAGTTTTCATTACTGATTTCTCCGTAATTATATTGTTATTTGATAATGTCTACAATAAAATGTGTTATCACAGAACGGCGGAGGCTATGGGAGGCAGTATGACGTTTCAGGAGGCCCTGAAGAAGAGATTGGACATCATCAGGCCGACTGCCAGCCAGATCAGACAGTTCATTGCCACTTTCCCCATTAATCTAACGCCAGGAATCACGTAAGTGTGTTTAAGTACATTGTAATACTGCTGACTTCAATGTTTGGGACAATATAACAATATTCTATACTTACAATGTAATTTATAACTTACACCACATTTAACACAAATATATTTTATTGTCTCAAGTCCCTAGTTTGTATAGCAACGTATAAGGCGTATCCGTCGCAAGTAAAAAATATGTAAACTACCCACGGAGAATGTGCAGGGTTCTCACAAACCAAACGGTTTAAGAATCTAAAGTAAAAGATAAGAATGTATTTAATATTTTTGGAATAAATGAATAAATAAAAAACTAATAAATGTAAACAAGAAAGGAATATCAGGTTAACACGTTCAATTCTATTGATGTTTTAAGGGAATCGGCAGATTGAATACGTGGCACTGAACGTATTAAGATTGTCGAAATTGATTTCAAAATTCAATTCCACTTGCATATTGAAGAAATGGAAACAAGTCATCGACCTACTTAAAACGTTATTTATATTTCATCATCAGATGATACTCGGCTAGTTGGTCACTATCTAGTCCACACCGCTTCACCGCTCTGACCCGACCTCGACCCTGGTGATAGCCCAGTCTCTTTCTGCGGGTCATCTATTAAATTTCTATAAGTTAATACAACGAATTTGAGCTAAACCATTTGAGAGGCTACTCCAAATTTGCATACCGTTCTACATATTTGTAGTTAGATGTCAATATGTAGATTTCCTGTTTAAGTAAGTGTGTTCCTAATTATTGCAAGTTATTGGTACATTCCCCGCTAATGTCAGGAAAAGTTTGTACACTATTGGAGGATAAATGAGGGGAAGTACATTAAAGTAAACTACATGAAGAAATTTTGTTGTAGGGACAGGAAAATAGTTACGGTACTTACAAATCACTTCGTAAATATTATTGCAAAACCTTCGGTGATTTGTCAAAGACTGTATTTCTTCTAAGAAAGTGCATCAACTTCTGAAATCGTATCTACTAGTTTTACTTCTATCTTACTCTTACTAATATTATAAATGCGAAAGTTTAGATGGATGGATGTTTGTTAGAGTTTGTAGCCTAAACGACTGAACAGATTTCTATGAAATTTGATATAGATATAGAGGATAGTCTGGAAGAAGACATGGGCTACTCACTTTTGATTTTTTTAACTCCACACGGACGGAGTTGCGGGCGAAAGCTAGTCTTATATACGGTTCTGTCTTCTACACTATCATGCTGTACTTGTCCTTTGTAAAAAAATTAATGTTATTTGCAGACAATTGGTAAAGGCTTTACAAGATAGAGGAGTGACAGTCTACCTCGTGTCTGGAGGATTCCGTTGTCTGATAGACCCTGTTGCTGAGATTCTGAACATCCCAGTGTCAAATGTCTACGCTAATAGACTCAAGTTCTTTTTTAATGGTAAGTTGTTTATTTTTTTTTCAGACTTTATAGTGTAATATTCAAATTTTGCTCATGTGTTTCCGCGTGTAATTTCCGCTTCAAAAAAATCGGTGTCTTCTAAATACATTTTGTGGTAGTATTCGTCTTCCATGTAAAAAAAAACTATTATTTTAATCCGTGGTTTTCAATATATTCTGTATAGTGTTGAAATGGCATCCTTTGTCTTTGATTAAAACGTCATATGTTAAAAACGTTACGCAAACAGCGCCAAGTTATCAAACCAGGTTTATCACGCCACATTAATGCGGTCGTGAGAATGTGAGTAATACAGGCCGTTAATAATGCAATTAAAAAGTTAAAAAAAACGTTATAAGTAGATCGGTTTTCTGCCAATTTATTTTTTTAACGCGTCTTGTCTATGTTTTAAAAATGGAATAACTTATAAGTTTAAAAATAAATAACCAATAAGTCGAAACAGTACATGCCAAGCTAGTGACACTGTCCTACTGTACTGGCATAATGTAAACTAGTCATACGACCTTTTAAAAGAATAAGATTGGAAATGATACGAAACACGTGTTTGGTAAAATGAATCACGCACAGAAGTCGTGTATCACTATTGGCGTTTATTCTTAAAAGATAATTATAACAGAGGTATTATTTTTAAATATGTATTTACATGTTTTTATTACTTTTTTTAAATAATTAAGTATATTGAGTTTACATATAGATAGTTCAATCCATATTCATCTACGTTTTTAATTTAATTCTACGTGCTATACTGATGTTATAAAGAAGAAAGTTTTTCGTATACGAACGAAAAACTTTCGAAATAACTCGTAAAATACTAGACAGATTTCAAAAATTCTTTCATCATTAAAAAGATGTGTTGTCAGTGAGTAAAATAGATTGTTTTTTTTTTTATTAATTTTTAATGTCATCTATTTTCGATACATATTTCTACAGTGTATAATCAGTACAAGTAATGTTTTTTTATAGCTGTAGGTTGGAATCTATTACTACATATTGCTATTAGTTAGTACTTGAATACGAAAATTTGACGTACAAATTTTGTAAGTCTTTAAGATTGTTACGTCTGATAACACATTTATCTGTTATTTGTGATTTGCAAAATTTTCCATGTTGTCCGAGGTCAGAAAAAAACTTGTATATCTAATAAAAATTTATGTAGGAAATTGACTTGCACTTGTTTGTTCAGTGTATTTTTAGTCATAGTTGTGATTGAGGTCGCCATGTTATCGTGGTTGTTGTTGAAATGTATTACAAATGCGTTTTTTAACCTATCGAGAAAATAACGGGTGTAGAAAATATTTGAATTCCAGTAAATTGAATTTTCAGTGGCCATAACACAAGCTCAATTTTTTTTTCTTTTCAATATTTACGAACCGTTTTGTAGTTTATAGAGGCACTTAGTCATCTTTTGTAGCAATTAAATCTCATCTAGGTAGCCTATTATAAATAAGAGGTCTATCATGAATATTTCCGTGACAATTGAAAAAATCTATCCGTATCGAGAAAATTTACATGAAAACAATCGATTCATTTTACGGTACTGATCCAATTTAATACACATACGAATTACGTTACGAAAACGTTCTCACGAATTTATGATAAGCCCCCAGAATTCAATGTCGACACCAGATCACTATACGTCCCCACCGAGGGGCTCGGAGCCTACCCTAAGTTAGGGTGACTAGGCCATAGTCAACCACGCTTCACTGCGGGTTGGTTGACTTCACACATATCTTTGAATTTCTTCGCCGATATGTGCAGGTTGCATAACGATGTTTTCCTTCACCGTAAGAACGTCGATTAAATTATGTACATGTGAAAATGCGAAAATCACATTGGTACACGGCGGGATTAGAACCCAATACCTGTAGATTACAAGTCAAGTGCTTAAACCACTGAGCCTCTATTCAATCAATGTATCGAGCTCAAAATGGCAATTAATTTGTATGACAGAAAACGTAGCTGTTTTCCTCCAAATACGAGGTAAACAATAAATGACGTCAGACGCCAAGATGGTAGTACCATGTTTGTTGTTGCTTTAATTCATTTGTTTTATAAACTTTAATAAAACTTGTAGTTATATAAATAATCATAATTCATGCTTATATTATAAATGCGAAAGTTTAGATGGATGGATGTTTGTTAGCGTTTGTAGCCTAAACGGTTGAACTGATTTCGATGAAATTTGGTATAGAAGTAGAGTAAAAAAAACGAACAGATTGTGCAATACACTAGTCGTTGCTTGCGTCTCCGTCCGCGGCTATTTCTATTAAAAAATATTTTTAATAGATATAGCCTATGTAGCTCAGTGATAACGTAGCGTATTTATTAGTAAAAGAAATTTTGAAATCGGCCTAGTAGTTTGTGAGGTATTTCAATACATACAAAATAAAAATGTTTCCTCTTTATAATACTAGCATAGAAGTACAGATAAATTTAAATAAAGATTTTCATATCGTTATGTTTATATTAACGATGTACCGTGTAGAAATGATTCGATAAGGAACTTCGAGGGGGGCGTCATTGACTTGTGAACCGGCTGATAGACGCATATGTAAATACGTAAGCGGGTTTTTAAATCACTGATATACTTGAGCTGGCGAAAATATTCCATTGAAGCTTATCGTATTTTAATCGCTGTATCGGTTTTGAATATTAGACAAATTTTGCCTAGTAACATATTTACTATTAACAATGTCCACGCCACTACGATGTTTATCGTATGAAAATAATCTTTTTATGCGATTTGGTGACAATAAACCAGCTAATAATTTAATAATTAATAGCAATCAAAGCAAGTAAAATTACTACAATTGAAATGAAAGGATTTTTTTCAATTTTAGTTTAATTAATAGCTTTCGCCCGCATGAAATTAAGAAGAAAAAAACAAAAGTGAATATGTGTTTTTTCAAACTATCTACATGTCTACCAAATTTCATCGAAATCTGTTCAGCCGTTTCGGCTATAAACTCTAAGAAACATCCACCCATCTAAACTTCCGAAGCTGTACTATTATAATAAAGCGTAAACACACACTTCTTTGTTGCCTAAGATGTCAGCAATTACAGCATATTTTGAATACTTCTTTTTTTAATAAAAAGCTCTCACTTACGTCACGATTTAGTCTATATATTTTCACGCCATTAAACTTAGGGGGTAAATGTTTTAGATAAAAACCCTAATGTGGGAAAGAGACCATAAGTTGCTGCTAACATCAAGAAAGTAATATTGCCAAGGTTTGTCATGTAATGTCATTTTGACATTTGCTATCGATAATTTGACAAATGTAAACAATAAAATAAAATTTTCATAATTTCATGCGGATGAAGCCGCACAACGCATCTGCAATTGCGGATGTCTATGGGCAGCGGTCGCTTCGCCATTTTGGCGATTTCAGGTGGCCGCTTGCTCGTTTGCCACCTTATGTTATAAAAAAAAAACAGGAACAGCTAGTTTGACATAATATTAAGCGGTAATGATGTAAAATTAGTTGAGAGTTGCGACGATATAGTACTTGAGTGATGCAAACAAAACAAAAGTAATAAACAATTCTTATGCTTGCTATCTGACATGCGCGTGCTGCGTGCCTGTTGACGCACGTTTACGTAAATCTGGGACAAATACAGGCTTGTTTTTGCTAATATTGTTTTCATTGAATCAAAGAGTTCGGTCAGGGTTAACATGTTCTCGCCCTGCCTACTTTAGGTGAAAATAATTTCTAAAGACTAATCTGTCGAATTTTTGCTTCTATAATGTACATCTTTAATCTTTATTTTGACAATAGATTGGTTATTTAGACTATTAATACATTAGATTTGACTAGAAACTAGATGTTCCCGTGCGGCTTTAACCGCATCAAATAATCAATTGCAAATGTCAAAATGACACGACATGATGTCAAATCACGGCAACCTTGCTTCCTTAATGTTGGCAGCTTGTAGTTTATGGTCCCTTTCCCATTAAAGGTTTTTTCCAATTTATCCCCTGAGTTTAATAGCGTGAAAATATGTAGCCTAAAGCGTGTCGTAAGTGTACGGCTTTTTAAGTGAGGAAGATTGATTAGAAAATATGCTGTGATTGCTGACATCATACGCCACAAAGTAGTGCGTGTTTACGCTTTATTATATTAGTATAGAAGTATAGATATAAAATTGTGACAAGTACTGAACGAAAAACTGTTGCTCGCAACTTCGTACGTGTGAAATTAGAAAATAATAAGCCTCATAGATAAATTACCTTTCTAATGGTGAAAGGTGAAAATCGGTTCAGTAATTTTTACGTGAATCAAATACATACAAAAATACGAATCGTATCTCTTTATAATATTTGTATAGATTTATCCTAAGGTCATCCAAAATATCATACGTGCTTTACTATAAAACAAAATATCTATTACCTATTTGGTCACGTATTTTTGCTGTAGGAATTTATCTGAATCTACGATATCATTATAGGTGAATACGCGGGTTTCGATGAGAACGAGCCCACATCCAGGTCTGGTGGCAAGGGGCTGGTGATCAGGAGACTGAAGGAGCAGCACAGCTACCAGCGGCTTGTGATGATCGGAGATGGCGCTACCGATGCGGAAGCCAGCCCGCCAGCTGATGGATTCATAGGTGAGAGAAAATTAAATACCACAGTCAGTCTCAACCTTTTTTTGTTGCGGCACATTTTTAACGATTTCAAAATTGGGCAGCACACAAAGAAAATGATTACAATTATTTACTACAACATACATAAATAGTTTATGACAAAAATATGCAAAATTTGGCGGCACACAAAAGTGCCGCGGCACAGTGGTTGAGAATCAGTGGAATAACACCATCAATGCCACCGATTGTATGATTTTTATACCTAACTTGTATCACTGGAAGTGTTAACACATGCATGATGATGCATTTAAACATCAGTCCTTTCTTTTTACACAATGTATTGTTTTGAAGAATAATTTTTTCTATATTTTTCTTTAGTCTATGTTCAACTTACTACCCGTTTCAATTTATGGTATTTTTTTTTAATTAGGCACTTTAGGGTTTCTTTACGGGTTTCTTTCAATAATATGCTTTTAAAAAGTAACTACAAAATTGTAAATTTCTTGAAAAGTTACGGAATCAGAAAGAAATCAAGCAGTACCGATTTATGGTAGGGCGAATTTGGGCAACTACCCAGAGTGGTTAACAGAAAAAGGCTCCGAAATCAGCGAATTCTCATACGTAGGCCTGTTAATACCCTAAAGCAATAAAAAGGGGGTGTCGTAGAAAGCCACGAAAGCCCAGGGCACTTGTAACTTAAAAATCGGTACTGAAACCAAGATCGATAATAAACCATTTCGTACAACCAGAGTAAACTTATGTTTGGTCTATAATCCATAAAATTTTCACTAAATCACAACTAGACCTGGTTTATTTGAACACAAGATATTAGAAAATTCGCATTGTTTAAATATGTTTTTAATTTTCCCAGGTTTCGGAGGTAACGTGATAAGAGATGAAGTAAGGAAGAAGGCAGCGTGGTACGTCACCGACTTCCAAGAGCTCCTCACATCTCTCACTATCCAAGCGAAGTGATACAATTTTAGACTTTATCGCCAACAGAATACGTTCGATAGTAACGTGGCTATTAGACAAATTTGACAATGGTTGTTCCAAGCAGTGTAATTTATATCTTATTGTTGTAGCGTTAAGAGCGGAATTCGATTGCGCATTTATGTGATGCAGTACTAGAAGTACAAACGTTTTAAGTATTTTCAGGACTTAGTCCTGATTGAGATGTCATTTAGTGGATGTTTGATAACTGTTTCTGTTCCCATTGGCGAAAAAGTTTTAGCAAAACATGCTATCGCTCTAATATCCTAGAAACAGAAAAATAATACGTTTTTTTGTAGAAAATATAGAAAAAATTAAGTAGTATCTTAACTAAGAATATAAAAATCCTAACACCGGGACGCTTCATCATTTATTTTTATACAAAGTTTTTTGATTTACGGAAAGAAATTAGTCCCTTATTTTTCCGTAATATGGCGAGGGTTTTTATATTCCTGGTCAGGCTATAATAGCGCCAATTGTATCGTAAGTAATTATTTATGTAATAAAACGGTAAGTGACAATCCTATATATTTCATTTAAAATTGTATTTATTAAGATAAACTATTAGTTGAATTTAGTTGTTTCTGTATAATTTAATTAATTGAAAAATCGTTTATTGTTAATTTTCGTATAATGTAAGGACAAGTCAATTGTTGTATTTTCATAGTTTGGACTATTATGTTTGGAAGTTGTGATGTTTTTCGAATGTTATTCAGAATTTCTTTAGACAAAAATGGCTGTGTACTTCCTAGCTTGATAAAACAATTAAATAAAGTATTTTAAGTATACGTTATCGTTTTATTTGAGTTAATTTAGATGTAACTTGTAAAATAATACCATAATAAAAAGTTTTTAGTTAAAAATTTTAATTTTTTACTGTCATAAAACGCCTGTCGGAATTTGTGTAGTTGCTATTAACACTTTGCTATTTTTATTTGTCAGGAGTCATGTAAAAATTATTTCTTTGGTTACCGTTTATTGACCAAGCACTTTCTGAATGTCTTAAATTAAGATTATAATTAGAATAATATTTTATATATTTCACTAAAAATAGCTTTCGAAAACTTAAATTAACTATTTTGTCGCATAAATTACACAAGATAGCAAAATGAAGTCGTTACACGAATTTAACGCTTTGCTTTTTAAATACAGTCATAATATTGTCGCAATACATTTTAAAATCAGACTGATAAACGGTGCAGACTATTAACTTCCGTCTACTACAAAATATTAATTAGATAATTTTAAACATTTTAACTATCAAGTATTTGGGGAAATAATAAAATGTTATTATATTTTTTAAAATGTCATTATACAGGATTAACAGGATGTTTTGTTTTTTGCAAGTAATTACAAATAAAAGATCAAGAAATTTCTGTCGATACAGCGATGATCGCCGGATGCGCGCACGCCGGCCGAGCCGGGCGTCAAACGTATAACCGTCGTATTTCGAACTTTCAACTCTAAAAATACATGTTTGGTGACCCCGCGCGACTCGGCCGCAGTCGCGACGCGCTCGGAAAGGTCAAATCTCGCCCGACATGTCGCGGCCCATTGTTTCGCGCCGATAATTTACGTTAAACCGATCACAGATTACACCATAATCGGTTTACAAGTAACCGGTTGTTGTGATTCGATTCGTTGTGCTTTATTTTTATGGAAATGTGGAAGCAGTGCGTTATAGTGATGTGATACTATTTATGTACGATTAATATTAGTGATAATTGAGGTGATTTAGCGCGAATTATGTTTATAAAATTTGGTATACTGCTTAGGAATTTATTGACAGTTTTTATTTAAATAAAAGTTTACTCAGAATTTATGTCACGACATAATTTTTAAAGTAGCATATAATTTGAATTAGGACTAGCAAAGTCTATTAGGTAATAAATAATAAATTAAATCAAATGTTTATTATAATGTTGTAATGTAATTACAAATAGTAATTTTTATGCTTTCCCTTAGGTTGAAAAAATTGCTAACAGAAACAAAAAAAATAATAGTACATTTATTTTATTCGGATCTATGATATATCGATTCTATCCTTCTAATTGTATCTTTTTCTGGATGGAGTACTTTCATATTCCTAATTTTTAACATTAAATTCTCCGCAAGTTGATCCGGAATCGGTACTATACCATATTTAGGCATCCATCTAGGTTTCGTCCGTCTTAACGATGTTAGCATTACTTTGTCGTAATTTTTATTATATCGTGCATTCTCCAACAATTCTTTAATATAACTATCTTGTATTGCATCTTCTGATAATGGTTCATCCATTCTCGCCATCGCTGTTTGTTCTAGAACTTCCTCTGTTTCTGTTGTTGTTGCTTGTGTCGTTGTTTTTGTTGTTGTTTCTATTTTGATTTGAGCCTCTGTTGGTTTCGTTATAGGACTTGGTGAATTCATAATATAATATGGATAAGGGTAATACACTAATTCTGGTTGGTCCTCTTCGGTGCATTTCCTACAGTACTGCATACAGCATTCCTTAGGATGGCTGAAACATGTATCGCAGGAGCAAACACATTCTTCGGGCATGTAGTTGTAATTGTTGGATAAGGAGTACATTTCGGGGTTTAAGTAATCTTGTACATTTTGATATCGTTCGTCAGGTGAACGTTTGTAGTAGTCGCCGTAATCGTAATGTGAATGAATGCATTTTAACATTAAATAAAAAGAAAATAGCCTGATTATCTGAAAAGAGAAGAAATGTTTATTTCAACATATGTATGAGATTTTTTTTCGATTCGATAAGAGAAATCTAGCATCATTATATGATCTAATATCACTAAATTCAATATTTGTAGATTTACTTTGAAATATAAGCATTATACACAAGAAAAACTATTATGCAAATCACAGCTTTGCTAATACAATACATATTTCGCATTAATGCACGAAACGATAACGTCTATGTATATCTTCTTATAAATCTGTTTGAAACAGACAAAAAATTTTTAAATGCCATTTTCGTTATCAGCAACGCAAATGCATTATATTCCCGAAATCTGGAATTTGTCTTTTGATATTACAAACAGACACTTCAATTTTATTATATGTATAGATAGATTTAAATACTAGCTGTCACTCGCGACTCCATCCGCATGGAAAAAATAGTTAAGTAACCTATGTGTTATTTCAAACAATGCTCTACATCTATGGTAAATTTCATGGAAATCCGTTCATCCGTTTAGGACATACCGTCAAACAAACAACATGTAGACTTTCGCATCTATATTTTCTATACTATATTATTAACTAAGAAATAACAAAATGTATCATACCAGTTTCATAATACAGCTGTTGGAAATAGTAAATCTATTTTGTTCCGAGTGACATCCTCGCAGTTGTCGTTGTGGTGAACTAACTTCAGTGTTCGAGCACAGGTGGGCGACAGAAAATCGATCATTTCTTTTTACCAATGTTAAATCGATGCATTGTTACGAATTATACAACCTAAATAGCCTTTGTTATTCACAAAGGATTTACGTAAAGGCGTATTTAGTAGGATAACTTTTTATTCAACCACCATTCTTAATATCAACGCTTTGAGATGAAGCTAGAGAAAAAGGTTTAATTTAATAACGAAGCACACAGGTTATTTTGTAACAATTTATTACATAAATTTGTGTTTAATTACTACATAAATGTATTTAAATATTCATCATAAATATCCTTGGCTTTTGAAAATACTAACCACTTTGTATTCAACATTTTTTCTAAGAAATATTCCTTATTCCTTGATGTTCTAATTAAAAATGCATCTCAGATACTTCATAAAACGATAACATCGTCAGATAAAAAAAAATCTTTTGATAAACTTTTACCTTTCCTAGATCGCTTAATTGTTGTACTTAATATGCGTGCATAGTTGTTCATATGTTTATGTGCGTGTGGAAATACGTCCTCAATACCGAACATGTATTTATCTTTTATACCAGGAATAAATAAATAGCCATTTCTAACACCGGGTTTTGTGATAGGTGGTTTAGTTGATGTTGTAGGATTTGTCGTTGTTGTTGTCGTTGTTTCAGTTGTTGTCGTCTCAGTCGTTGTTTCCGTGGTTTCTTTTGTTGTTTCCGTAGATGTTTCAATCGTTGTTGTTTCGGCTGTTTGTGAAGCAAATCTTATGTAAGGCGCAGCTGTACTAGAAGTGACATTGTTCTGACGTAGAATATTGGGGTTTGTCCATGAAGGCAAATTCAAACCAAAAGGAAACATACTTGGAAAAATCCCCTGTTTGATATTTAAGTGATTTAAACCAGACGGCTTATTGTATGGCCTTAGTTTTCTGTGATCATTCGGCCCTGGACAAGCGATGCACATTTCTTTACAACATTCCTTAGGTTTTACACAGTTGTTGCAAGAACATAGACATTCTTCTGAATCTTCGAATTCGTTACTGCTCATATCTAGCATCTTTACTTTTCTATCTCCGTTTAACTTTATTTTATTTTCTTTAGTACTGTAACTAACTCCAAAGTTGTAGCGATTTTGTCTTAGAGGATTATGGAAACGTGTTACAGGCGTTTTGTATTGTGAAGTTGGGCTTTGACAGATTAATATAATTATTTGAACCTTTATTATCTGAAAATGAATTGTACACACGTTTTTATTTTATCAACATCTCACAAAGATTATTTAAATTAATAAATGTCATACGATTTTCATAGTAAAACACTCAATAATTCCTTACAAGCACTATAATTATGATTTAAATAGATAAACATGTGCGGTCAAACATCGCAAACGAAAATGCAATTGGAATTTTAATTTCGTACGAAAATCAGTCAAATGTGAAAGTAATAAAATCGTACGCTTCGAGAGAAAAATCTTATTGCGACGCAGTAAAACTGGAGGTTAATTATCAGTAGACTGCAAAACCATTTTATTTGCAGAACATAGCCATTTACAAAGTGATCGGAAGAAAAAAGCAAAGATGCTAAGACGCAAGAAGCTAACTTATGTCTACAGTAGAAGGATATCATTTAATCAAGAAAAGAATCACGGTTGTATAGTTTTTACTAAAAAACACAAAGGTTTTTTCAGTGTCAACTGCATAATGGTACAAAATTTACATTTTAATTAGTTATTTACTTCATTACATTACTGTTAGTCATAATTTCTTATTTCTGATCCAAACTTAATGGCTAAATTGTTGCGTAACGGCGAGTATCCATTTCGGGAGAACCAAGGGCGAATTTTTTCTCTTAACACTTTGTCATTTGTAAAATCGTAAATTGGCATTGTTGGTCTAATATCTCTATCATCGTAGGCATCTAATCTATTCGGTAAAAGTCTTTGATGGTTGTTTCTCGGGTAATAACGTTTGTCATATTGCTCTTTGCAGTTTGCCAAAGCTACGCAGGGTTTATTGTTAGGCAAATATGGTGGTTGTGTTGATGACGTTTGTATTGTAGTTTTAATTGTCGTTGTAGTGGTAGTTGAACATGGCGGTTTGGTGGTTTCCGGTATAGGTGGTATAATGCTCGGTACATCAATAACAACCGGCACAGGATACGGTACGTACATTAGATTCGCACCACTCTGACATTCGGAACATTGTTCTATGCAGCATCGTTTTAATTTCGCACAATTTCTGCAGGAACATTTGCAATCGTAATCTTCGTAGCTTTCTCTACGTTTGATTTTCTTTCGATGTCTGTCTTCGTTGATTCGATACATTTTCCTCCGATGTTGGCTCAGTTTACGTATTCTTCGTTTCGGTCGATCGTAATAATCATTTTCGTCGTGATGGTAATCGTAGTTATGGTCTGGATAATTGTGTATGTATCCTACAACTATATTATATTGCACAATTGAATAATGAATAATAAGAGAAATCGATTGAATTTTGACTATCTGAAAATAAGTGACAAAAATTAATAAATAAAATATTAAGTCGCAAAATACTTCACTAAACAGAATATTTAACCATTTGTTTACTAATAACAACAATGCTATATTTTTTAATTTAAATAAAGCCTGTTTTTCAACGGTTCCGTGTTTCTTACTAAATAGATTTTATGTTTAAAATGTAAAATGAGGTAAATGCTTATCAAAATAAATCATAAAATAAAATGTTTTATAGTTTCATATATTTTGAAACAATGAGTGGTATGAAATTGAACAGAACTGCTTAACAAAATATTTTTTTTTTAATTCTATATCTTTTAAACAGTATTTTTAACATGACAGATCATGGACAACATGAAATCAGAAAAGTTGAGACCAGTTTCACATTAATAAGAAAAGAAGTCGATGCAGTTCTGAACCAATTATTTTTAAGATTGAATTTCGGTAGCTATTTTAAGTGATTCACAGGTCATTCGGCACGAGCCAATCTTAATACTAATATATCAAGTCGTGTTACATTCGTCTCTACTCTGTGGGAGAGCGAGGGAGGGGCGGAAGGTGGTGGGTCATGACCTCGGCCGGCGGCTCCTGAAATACTCCTAGACGTGGACGCAAGCCAAAAAGCACACCGCTCGTACGCGTATTATCGGTCACTGTTATCGATCTTATCAAAAGAAAAAAAATGTTACGTTTAAACTACACGGATTTCGAATTTTGATAAAAATAATTCAACATGTTTTTTTTCTTTAGTTATTTTGGTATGAAAGAGAACGCTCTGCTTTGAAATTTTCATACGAGTGATTACTAATTACTGAATTCTAGTCAATCTATTTCAATCTCTTTGTATATTTTGGTCAAAGTAATTAAGTATGACGTATGCATAAAATATTCCTATATTATAAAAGCAACTAACTAAATATAATTGGGATTTTTTTATCGGTGAAATCGTAATTGAAAAAGTTTTGACAAAAGAACACATTTGGCTTCTAACCTAAAAATACTCACCGAATTGCTACATCACGTTGGCAAACAGGAGTGACGTCAGTTGGCACGTGTTTATTTGGAATGTCATCTTGGGTCACGACCTTTCGACCTCTCGCTTCCCACGTCAGAGCTTTTAATAACGCAAACGTCTACTGAAAGCTTAAGTTTCACAATGAATAAATTTTTATAAGTTACAGAGTTTGCATTTCTCAATTCCTATTATTAGCTATCTGAAATGGAAAGTGAATACCTCAATTGTAACGTATAATTTTCTTTCTATCTACTTTTACGACACTAGAGGGAATAAGCTAATTTGTCAGGTTGAGCAGAAATTAAACCAAAGTACAAGTAGGGCCCTCTGTCAATTGTTTTTAATGTTAATGCAAGTGCATTTTCCTTATGTTCTGATAGAAAGGTCGTAACTGCGGAGGGCAAACATTAAAAATCAAAAAGAGTCTAGTTTGTTAGCTACATATTATTTTAGGTTGCCCCCCTGAGCCTAAGGTAGTCTACGTTCTCTTTGGGCATAATATCCTTCTGGTTGGGTCAGATATTTTTTGGTACTATATGCTATTGAGAATGTAGTTGAGGTGACAATTGAGGGTACACCGGTGACATGATCAAAAAGGGAGTGATGACTGAGATGACGCATGATATAGTTATGAGGACAAAAACTTGTTACGCCGCTACGGGAGTAGGATAAGGACAAGGATGATGACTCTAATTGACAATGTACGTTTACAATCGTATATATAAAATGTCTTTTATGATTTATCATAGAGTTTCCTCGAAGTCGATATAGTTTTCCTTTGTCCTCGCGGTGCAGCAGACCGCTATCAGCTTATCGCCTTATCAGTGTCACGACGTTGTGACCGTCGCACCACGCTGCCCCGAACTCTACACCGGTAACGTTTCTAATCAATCATTTATACTGCTGTTACATTTTCGTTATTACACACGAATGTTTTATATGGAATTATAATAAAAGTATGTTTTCCTGGTTTACTTGTGTTTGATTGCAGTCACACTTGTTGTCAATTTGTCAGAAAAACATGCTAGAAACTTTTAACCATCTTGATGGCTAGAATTATTTATCAATAAAGGTTACTGCTCGCTGTTAGTTCTTAACCTATTGTTTATCCAATTTATATGTTAAATTTTAGGTTAATTAATAACAATTAAAATAAACACCTTTTTGTTATATTGTCAATTGTTTTATGTTCGTACTAGCTTTCGCCCGCGACCAAGTCCGCGTGGAATTTTAAAAAACGATAATGAGTAGCCTATGTGTTCTTCCAGACTATGCTCTACATCTATACCAAATCTCATCGAGATCCGTTTAGCCGTTTAGGCTACAAACTCTAACAAACATCCATCCATCCATCCATCGATTCATCTAAACTTTCACATTTATAATATTAGTATGAAGTATGATATACTAATACTGAACAGAACATGAGTTGGTTACAACTAAAATCCAGTAGGAAATACCGCCCTAACTTTACTATAGATGTTTTGATAAAAGTTTTCTGTATTTTACTCTCACAGAATTATTTATAATAAGTTTTTAATTCTATTTATAAGTACTCTAACAGTATAGCTAACTTAATATGTTACTAAATTTATTTTTAATTAATTCGACTTATAAATGAGAAGTAAAATGTTATTAAGCGTGTTTAAATAAACTTTTGAGGAAATTTGATTAATGTTTTTTTAATTATGTTGCAATGAGTGTACCATGTGAGTACCCTTCGTTCCCGATGACACGGTTTCTCGCTAAGTGCCACCGTAGGAAGGTTAAGAGCCCCTTATCGCGCGTTATCGTAACGTACGTACCTAGGTGCCGCCCCATTTGCTCGTTTGACCTGACACCTCAGTTATCAGTTGCGCGTCGTGATAACCGCTGTACCGTACCTGTTGGTTTTACCTTTTTTATCCGTTTAAACTTTTTTTTCTATTTCGTGATCTTTTTATATTTGATGTGTTACCTTTTTAGTTTGTTCTTGTGACACTGGTAATTAATTTTGACTTAATGAGTTTTAGTTTTAAATGTGTAATCTAAACTCAAATGTTTGTATGTAAGGGTTTTTTCTTACGTATTGTTAATATTATTTCTACAGTCTAAAAGTTATTTTAATTATATGTTAAATCAGTACGTTGTTTAGTTATGATAAATGTTACTTACAAACACATGTACGCTCACATGCGTCTTAAATAAAGGTAGGCAGAGATTACAAATTCTAACCTGATTCTGGCGTCTTGCTTGCGTCTGCATTCAGACGCATAATAAATACGTTAGCGCGGATTATACTATTTTATTAATATCACTATCAATTACTGTACATACTTGTATATGTTCTCTGTGTGTCAGAAATCAATAGTAATTTACACTGGAGACTAAAAATGATTCATCCGTTACTTAGTTTCAGTAGGATTTACGTCATATACTTTAAAACCGGAACTCATGAATGTGTTTAGTTCCGGTTTAAAGGTTACATTTAAGTACTATTAGATAGATATTTTAAATTCGCCTTTTTAATCTGAAAATAAGTCTAACAAAATAAAAAGAGAATGTATATCATAATAAAACGATTTCTTGTATACTATTATTTAAAATCTTGTTTAAATCGAGTTGTTAAAATGTACCATATATGTTAATGTTTTTCTTACGTTTTGATCATCATCATTCCTCTATCTTATCCTACTCCTGTAGGGTCGACGCGCCGGGTTTTCGTCCTCCAAAATACTCTAACATCCGTCATCTCAGTCATCACTCCCTTCTTGATCATGTCACTTTTCAAGCAATCCATCCATCTCTTTCTAGGTCTACCTCTACCGGTGTACCTCTACATTCATAACTAACTTCTGTCTTGTTACATGCGATTCATCCCTTATAGTATTTAATCCCTTACGTTATTTAATCGTTTTTAGTTTTTTTTATGTCAATGTGAGTAATAAATGTTCAAAACATAGCAGCAGTAGTATTTAAAAATGTCTGAACCAATATTGGATTGTCCTGAACTTAAACTGGAAGACTCAGATGAAGGGTCAGATACTAAATGTGATTTGAAGGAAGTGTGTAAAAGTAAAGTGCAAGTGAAATGTGAAGAAGAGGATGAAGGGAAGTCAGTCGGTCAGCGAGAGAACAGGCTGACGAGTATTATAGACCAGCTGAGATGTCAAAGTCAGTTGAAAGGTACGTTACCAAGGTACTTTACATTGATTATCTTTTAACTTATACTAATATAATAAAGCGTAAACACACACTTCTTTGTTGCCTAAGATGTCGGCAATCACAGCATGTTTTCAAATAACTCTCTTTTTAATAAAAACCCCTACACTTACGTCACGCTTTAGGCTATATATTTTCACGCAATTGAACTTAGGGGGTAAAATTTTTGGATAAAAACCCTAATGTGGGAAAGAGACCATAAGTTGTTGCCATCATCAAGGAAGCAAGATGGCCAAAGTTTGTCTTGTTATGTCATTTTGACATTTGCTATTGATAATTTGACAAATGTAAACAATAAAATAAATTTTTCATAATTTCATGCGGATGAAGCCGCACGGGAACAGCTAGTTTATAATATAGTTAAGCGCCAATATCTTAATTGTTTGGGGTACGGACGACTCTTGCAAGCGTTCCCCGACATACGAGTACGACTATTGTCGTGAACCATATCCTAGCTCAAGTCTAGAGCTTAGTTGAAATGGTTAAAGGAAATATTAGTAAATCAACAAAAAAATAGACTAATGTTTTATTAAAAAAAAGAGTTGAAGAGCGAATTTTGAGTTATCTATATTGAGTTATCTGTGTGTTCACTTTCAGTTATAAATGAGTAAGAAAAAATAATTACTATTATTATGAGATAGCATAATAACTGTTATTTTAATGTAAAATACCGTAATCTTAAAGATCGGATGCTCACTGCGTAATTACAAACTGCCGTAGACTAACACAACATAAATTATTTTCTAATAGAAAATGGCGTGGTTTGAAGCGTAACAGGAACAAAGTCGCAACCTTTGCGCGGCCGATGGTATCAGAGCCATGAAATGTAAATCGCTTAGTAGATTTATAAAAGTAATTACTTCAAAGACAAAAGGCACGCGTTGCTCGCGGACAATTAGGCCGGGCGGGCTGGATCTGGCAACAATGGGCGAGATCATAGATTGCCGGCTATCGCGGCATCGCGATGTTTCTGCGCTCTGAATTGGTTTGTTTAAGAGACCAACACTCGGGTTCAGACCTACGCCCCGTGCCCGGCGCAACACAGCCCCGGACTGAGATCCCGCTTGTTTATTTATCTGATACTCTCACTGGCGATTGTTTTTGCACCGTTCTATGCATACGGCATCGATCTAACAGAACTTTGCAACAAGTATTTGCGGTAATGAATTTTTGTATTTAAAATTCAGTTTAAATAGGTTAATTGTTAAAGTCTTATTTGGCTTGGCATGTTTGTTGTTTATTTCTTACGATCATGCTTTGACCTGTATTAACTTTGCCGGTTCTCGTAAGAGCGGTAGCTTAATCGATCGCTCTAATTAGAAGATAAAGCGGTCATTTAGCTAATGAATGTATAAATCGCTGTCTAAATGTGCGACCGCACTTCCGACCAGATAGGGTTAATCAGCGCCTGGAATTTATGCGACATCGGAGCCACTAAAATACGGCAAATGGTAGTTTAAACTGAACGCTAAGAGAAAAAACGCGATTTCTTCATTTCTGTCACTCGATTATATGTTATATTTCAAATGTGCAAAGTCTAAATCAGCTTGCGTGATTGTTAGTGTTTAATTTCTATCGGTTGTAGGTTAGTGTGGAGAGCAAGCGCAGTGATCTATAGACGGTGAGGAAGCACGGAGTAATCTGCGCAGCGTAATGCCGCCATAGATGAGATACGCAGAATGCCTGTGCACTTCTTAAATGATTAGGCCACTGCATTAAAGGCATGGTTTGGTACAAAAACTCTTGAGACCTTTTTCTTGAGAGATTAAATGTCAATTTTGAAATTTTGAATGACGTCATTAAAAGGTTGGAACATTGCTGTATTCCGGTTCACGCAGCAGTGGATTTTAAAGTTTGCTTTTATATATTGGAGCATTCCTGTAAACGGTTTATGGGGAAAGCGTGTGCTAATTAAGTAAAAAACAATTGTAAGATGTAGAACAAATACTAATAATACGTTGACTAACAAATAGTGCAGTTGGCTGCAGGAGATAACGTCGATATGGGTTTCGTCACGACCGCGCTTATCGCTGCTGATGTCACGCTGATAGTCTATATGGCTCATTTACTTTTTTATCCTTCTTAGATTTTGTTGTTTGTTTCGCTTGGACATTCAGTTCTAGCTTTACTATGAAATGTTTAACTAAAATTAGAATTGCCTTATGCAAACTAGTTTTCTTTATGGATAGCAGAAGAGTTAAGAATATTAATCTCTTTATACACAGATTACATAATAAATTTAAATGTATTGGTAATATTTTGTTCCCGTCTGCGAAGCTTAGTCTTTGCTGCAGGTCGCGTGCGCGGCCGCCGTTAGCGCGCCGACTGGAAATTTATAATGATCGATATTCTCCTCATTTCAACTGGACCTTGCTCCGGTTATCCGGGTCGTCGGGATCCGAACTCCTCCTTAATTTACAGCAACACGCCTCCGCTTTATTGTTTGTTCATTAAAAGTTTCCACTCTACTTATTTATTTAACAATTTAGAAATAGAAATAGATAGTGTGAATTGGTCATATATAACTATCGTTAGGGTTCTTCTGATGTTCTTTGGCGATTGTTTCTTCACTTAGTAACAGTTAATCAATTACTCAAAGCAAGACTCCAACCTGTACATTAACTTTCATTACTCTGGACTTACTAAGTCGTAGCTTTTGCCCGCGACTCCGTCCGTGTGGAATTAAAAAAAAAAACAAAGTAAAGTAGCCTATATGTTCTTCTAGACTATGCTATATATTCGTTCTGCAGTTTATGCTACAAACTCTAACAAACATCCATCCATCCGTCTAAACTTTCGCATTCATAATATTAGTAAGATTGCAATTCCTATCGACTTAAATCTCTATTCATGGTTTCCACTATAAACTGTATTTTCAATTACCAATAGATTATCGCAATATGACCTAAGGCTCGTAGATAACTTAAGATGTCTATGGCAGATAGATAAGTTGAGGTCATAAAAAGTGATGTTTTAGATCGGCCGCGATATCCGGCACGTGATCGAATTTATCGTTATTGCGCTCGTGGACGGCGGACGGTGTCTTGCAACTTTACGACTAACTGTTCGCGCTCTGAATCTGCGCAGATCATTCCTAATTAAATACTAGCGTTTCACCCGGTTTCACCTGTTGAACGAGTATCTACATTGAAATATGAATAATCACATACAAAAATCAACAACGAACAGATACGGCTGGTGACTTTTTAGACTATGTTTCTGTCTTGTTCACAATCTAGTTTATTTGATTTCAATTATTTTATTACGGCCCAATACTGAAACGAAATTTACACATTACACATTAACACGTAAACAACACTTTCAATAAATTCGTTAATGAAAGCGATGTTTGGAGTTACAGCGTAGGCTTATCGGTTAATTTCAATTTGTTATATATTGTATATATTTTATTACGTGATTCTTGAATCTTACATGATTTTAATAAATAAATAAAAAAAATATTTATATGTATTTTTAATAAATAATTAAACAGTTTTTATAATTATGATATAACCTTTCATAACGAAGAGTTAATTGCTTTACGATTGAACTCGCGAAACATCGCAGAAAGAAAAAGGGAAACTTCAGTATTCCGCAACGTACGGGCCTCAGTGATTGTTTTATATTGTGATGCTCTAATTACTATCCACGTATCAAGAGCAATCTTTCCTAAAATTAATATAATAACGTTATAATTGTACAGTAGCGATTTTCAAACTACAGTTAACATAGGACACGACTTACTCGTAACCTTTTCTAAGACGCCAAAATAATATTCTGTGTCTGCCTTAATGTTAATGTTATTTTTAACACTTATTACTAAAGGATTCAGAATCAATTTCGACTTTGAAAGACCAATTGCATTTTAGTAAATCTAGCCTAGTTTCGTTTCGTGTTATTATTCTACAAATCTTTGCGTATTCATAAAAGGACCAAACAGAGATAGGCAAAATTAATAGGCGTGAATTGGAATAAATAACCAAAGAAACCTCACTGTATGGAAGACAAACTTGTAAGAAAAAGAGTCAAAATCCTTGACATCAGAAAACGTAACAACAGTTTGAGAACAAGTGTATCAGAGGCGCTTAATTACGTTCGCACTTCATAACTGGCTTGCGCAATGTGAAATTTGATTGCGCTGTTAATTTAGCATCATCATGTTTAACACGTTGTTATGCCCCGCTCTATATATTGTTTATGTTCTTTTCTTTGTTAACTAAATGCTACTGTCGTTATGTAGAATAATTTCACTTATGTAAAATGTGTTATGTAAAATAAAATAAAACAGTAGTGTATACATAAACATAAATGTATGATAATGGGAGAGAAAAGATAAGTTTAAAAAAAAATAAAAAACAGTTATTAAAAATAAAAAGCAAAACAAAATTTATAGAATAAATTAGTTAATGAACGTATTCCATGCCACATCCAGTAATGGTATACTGGATCTCATGCAAAGTAATAATAGTATTAGTTCGTATACATAATGTTTCGTAGCTACCCGCATTTAGTAAATGTATATTAAATTGTCAGTACGCTTGATTAAATATTATATTTAGCATAAGTTATTACTTTAAGTAAGTAAATTGTAAATTTTTATTAAGGTAAATAAAGATTCTTAAACCGTACTTTTTATTAGTAAAGTTTTCTTAAAGCTGTTTATATTTATTCAAGCGTGTTTTGTTTTTCCAACTACTTTTTTTTCGAATCAAACTCACTTTCCAGATCCGCTTTTTCGAATAATCATGAATATTGAAATCTTTTTATTGTTAAGCGCTTGACTACGATCCCACCTGAAGAAAATGATGGAGAAGTCGAAAGATGGTTCGCGCTAGCTTTGTAAGTAGCCGTTTACTCTTCCAAACAAATGCATTTGTTATGTTTTAAACCCTTAATGTCAAATTTATCGTTGCAACAAAAGTACACCTCTCCGCAATTATTCTTAAAATTACAGAACCCAAACT